AATCTGAAATACACCTTATTACGAGTGTATAACGTTGAAATTAATATGACTACTGTTTTACAATAAGTCTTTTCATCATTAACAATTCTTGGTAATTAAAAAAAAAATTTTTTTTGTTAGAGAAGGATAGACAAGCATGAGGTTCAATTGATCGAATGTGAAGTACCCAGCAATAAAACGCCCCAGTAAGATGCGCTGTCGTCTTATTTGGCTTTGGATATCCGGAAATCTACAGACTGAAACCGAAACGCGCTTAAACTATTTCTTAGTAATGTTTTAGAAACCTGTTGGACCCAGTGGGGATTGAACCCACAGCCCTATGATTATTGCCATTGCTACCATTACACCAACTAGCCAATCAGATTAAAATAAGAAATCCACAACAAGTCCATCATATTTCAAAGCAAATTTAGATTGTAAATGCTTAGACATATATTGGACCGTTAAATAAATAAATAAATAATCCCTTTATTATCACAAAGTACATAATTAACAATTAAAATAAGTAATAAAAAAGAAATCTTACAATTAAAAGAATACAAAAAAAAGTACAAATTTAAACCGTTAAAGTGTTTTTAAATGTGTACTACTCGCGTAAACTATAGACAGTATTTAAAAAAGTACAATTTTAACTTTGTGCTAAAAGGCATCAAGACTCAGCATGTGCTCAGCGAGGCTCGCTAAGCGCTGATTTTCAGTCTGTCCGTATCAGATAACAAGTAGTACCAAAACATGTAAATATTGTGAAAAAGTTGACATATATTAGTGGCAGCGCGAATGCAAAACTATTGCGTAAGTAAAAGCAAACTAAAGAGAACAAAAGATATTTTCAATGGTTTGTATTTAAGTCAAGTTAAGTTTGTTGTTAGTCGAGCTAATTTGGAATTTCATTAATATGTCGCGGTACTATTAGAGGATCGAATATGATAAATGCCAGGCAAAAGGGCTTCGTGTTTAAGGCAGCCTTAACTTTAATTAAACGTAATTAATCGAGACATACGATTGATAGATAATTACGACTAGTCGATCATATTGTATAATACCTATAATGTATCCATCTTGTGTTAGTATTAATCAAATGTGTACTTAAACTGTGAACTTGGCCAACATTGAATATATACGATGACGGGCTAGTTGGTCTAATGGTTGCAATTAAAGTGGGTGCGATCCAACATGTTTCCAATTTTGATATGAAATCGGTGGTAGTAATAAAGAAATTCCGTCCAGGTCACGAACCACCTTCCGCAGATAAAAAATCGAGAAGCTTGTAGAAGGAAGTCTGTTCATTTCCGAATATCCAAAGTCAAATTGTTTAGATGTTATAGGCTGAGGTATATCACCTACCATCGAGTGTACTCCGTGATTGTGTGTCCTGATCTAACATTAAAACAAAATAAATTAAATACCTTTTTAGATAGAAAAAAATACGACACGGGCAGGACGTGAATCTGTTACAATATTTCGTGATGCTGTTTTAATTAATTGAGCTACCAAGTCAGTTATATCGTAATATACTATATAACTTTAACAAAACTATTTTTTTAAATCGAAAATAAATTGAAAAAAAATTTTCGACTCGGGCAGGACTTGAACCGGCATCGTCAGCGTTCCGTGCTTTTGCCCTACCAATTGAGCTACCGCGTCAAGTCCTGCCCGAGTCGAAAAAATTTTCAATTTATTTTCGATTTTTAAATTATATAGTGCCTCCATGTTAAAAAGTAATGAAGTTTTCAAAACCATTTTTTTATATAAAGATAGTTACGATAAAAATATAGTTACTTGTTCGAACTTAATATGAGATTTACTTCTAGCTTAAGTTCGAAGTTTATGCTGTCGTATTCCATATGCAATTTGTCAGCAGATAAACCATTACGTTCCTTTGTGTATCTGACAGAATTATATACAAACGATATAACATATACCAGATTCCTATATGTGTATGGTTATACTAAGAAACAGAATATAAATTATTATACTTATCGACGCTTAAGATGGAAAATTTCATATTTATTATACATATGTAATTAAGGGAATGTATTGATAGGAGTGTACATGTATAGACCATAGATTAGTTAAAATAGCATAGATCAAACACTACACCTCGTTTATTTAAGTTATAGATACATCATTAAAGTTTAAACTCACAAAAAGTGTCTAACTCATTCAATACAGTGCTTCTGCAAGACCAGAAAGTATGTATCATGTTTCGAATCCATTACGATTCGAAACACAGAAAAACGTAATACAACACAATTTAACTTAATATTCTGACTGTTTAATTTATGTACTTTATGTTCTATATGTGTAATAATAATAATTTCAAAGCTTATATCATCCATTAAATTATACTTACTTAAATAAAACAATATTTCTCTAATTATAAACATCAGCGTATTCTCAGCAAAAATCGAATCTCAGAATGCTAGGGGTGGCATCCGAGCGCGTCGCATCCGCCACGTGCTGTAGAGGGTGTCGTGTCATCGAGACGCGCGGTCGACTGCGAAATTTCCCGCGAATTTTCGAACCCGCGCTCCGTTTGATTATAATCTGTTACGATTAACGCGCTAAAAACCAATTTTGAAAATAGAATACAATTGAGACGTCAATATTTCCCGCGTTTTGTGTTTAGTGAATGTGACAATTGACATTTGAAAATGTACAAAAGCCTAATAACAAAATCTTCATACATTATTTACAAACATATTACGGTGGTAATACATATATGTGTAAATTAATACGCCATGTAATTCTAATACCTGTCTAAATCAGAGATCGGATGATATTAGAGCCGTGTAAATAATAATACGTATCGTATTAACTAATGTACTTATTTTACTGGTAGGTAATCTACAAATATGTTTTTAATATTGATATATATGTTTTTTAATTAAATATAACAAAATAAATATTATAAAAATCTATTCAAGCCTCTAGTGCACATTTTGTTAATTTACGTAATCTCCACAGATAATATAAATATTTATTATAATTCTGTGATGCGTCATTGATATAGATAATAACAGAGTGGCTACAGTAATACAAACATTCGACTAGCTACGACGTAGCGCTCTACAAAATTATTAATAAACAAATTTCATAAATTCTTTTAAAATACTGGCTGATGTGTATCCAATTGTTTTCATAATATTGTGTTCGAGTGAATAAACTGAAAGAAAAAAGGTTGGTCTAGCCCGAATGCCAAAAAAAAAAATTTTTTATAAATATACTCCGTTTTCTGTTTATATTATTACTATATAAATACATATTACACTAAGACAGAAGTTTATTATATTTTTTAATTTATAGTCTGTGTTTAGGAAACTAATTATCGATTAGGATATAGTATATAGCCTGTTGATAAGCCAAAATATGTAAATATTAGAAGTTCCAAAAAATAATTCTCATTTCTTAATATCTTCTCAAGGCTTAACGAATGAAATTGACTTTTCTTATATAAAACTGTGTCGTAACAAAGATAAAAACAATCCCACGCCAAAGCCGGACACAAGATATCAGAAAACCGATCCTCTTGTCACAATCCATCGATTCTGAGTGAACCGACCGTAAAATATACCTCAAAATCGAGATCTAGCCATCTGTACCGAACCGTCGACGAAGTGATTAAGACGTATTCTTAATTATTGCCGAAATTTACGGCGTTATTGTGAAGTGAAAGTGATACTAATAGTACTCAACTCGGACAAGATACCAATATAATATCGTAGTACTGTAAAGATAAAGTGATTGTGTGTTGAAGAAATATCTTTAGTTTACGCAAGCGCTATACAATATACAAACACCTTTGTTGATACTCTTTTTTTTCGCGGCTGGTAAGCGTAGGTATTATAAGCGTCGGGCCTCAATTAGAAACAAACATAGTTTGTATTTTAAAGAGTTCTTGTGTTGAAGTTAACGTTACATCGTTTTTTTTGTAATGATCGTTTCTTTAATGTATCCCGTCGGCCGTCTATATAACTTAAAATAGGTTTTCCTACATGTAATCTTTGTAACGTCGTTTTGTTTAGTTGTAAATGACATTTATAAACTGTAATGAGTATAATGTAAAAAGTGTAATGCGCGAGAGCTGAGAAAATTCGATGATCGTAGATGGGATACGTAAGTTGTTCGACTATTTCGTTCGTGTAATGTCGTGGGTTCGAGTCAATCTTGTGTCATTTTATGCTTAAATAAATTTTAAAATAGAAAAAAAATTAGTACTTTAAAGTTACTAGAAAAAATTATAAATAAATGAATGAACCAACGTGTCTTGAATAAGAAACAAGATAATATATTAATATTAATTCTCGTGAGAAAAATAACCTTAAACAGCCACCTGCCGTTACCGGAGCGGAAAAGCAATGCTCAAACAGCGGAAAATCGCCCAAAAAACCGGTGAAATTAAACCAAACGAATCGGTTTTTAACGTCCAATCGAAGACACTTTCCTACTTTTATAGTCCGTATAAGAAAACCTCAAAATAGAATCTCTCAATTAGCACTCGAAACTTGGGACACAAAAAATCTCTATCGCATTTATTAATAATTTAATTGTACAGTCAAATTTTCCGACTCATAAGTGGAAAGTTTCTTGATATGTTTAGATTGAGGAAATTAATTTTACCTATAGTTCCTTCGTTAAAAACTTCTTTTAAAGAAATTCAGTCTAAATATTTAATATTGAGAACAAAATAGTATTAATAATTCGACAGCAGTGGATTACCAAATAGTAAAAAAACTAATAATTTTTAAAGTATTTCGTTTTTCTCCAAGTTTATAAATTTAGGAAAACATGTCTATTTAAATAAAACACTTTAACGGTTTAACGGATTTAGTAAAATTTTTTTAACGTTTTTTGTTTTTCTCCTAAAGTTTATAATATTTAGCGAAAACATGCCTATTTAAAATTTGACAGGTTTCAATGACATTGCAAGTTATGCTTTCAAATGAGCTCAAGAACTAGTCGGCCTATGTGTAGTGTGTGTAAGTGTGTGTCCACGTAAGTGTGTGCCGTCAAGCTGGAGGGCCAAAGCAAGGCCACTTTTGCGGCCCTTTTTGGGCTGAGGGCTGGTGGTGGAGTGGACTTGTCCGCCGCTTACAGATACAATCAGAATATGATGGAATATTATACATGTAAGTAATGGTTTCGCAATATCAGAAGAGCCATTAAAGCATTATTCGTGATTCAAAATCTCGTGCATCGTCCGGCAGAGACCGTTATACCTATAAAATTGCACTTTACTAAATTTATTAATTTTTTTCTACTACTAGAGTACGTTACGTAGGCTACTAAAATCATGGATTCAAAGAGCTCATTATGTCCCTGCAAATTCCATCCAAGGTCACTATTAGGTAGGTACTAGATTTGGGTCAGTTTGTACAACTCTTTTAGTTCTCTCTCTCTATTAGTTCCATGTATTATACAAATTGAACGGTATACAAGCAAATATATAAAGCTGAATAGTAATGTGATACGAAAATGCCATTAAAGGATCTCGTATTCGTATAAAAGCGTACTAAAAAAGCGTCCCAATCTTCCACAGACTATAAACGCAAAAACAGCCATCTCCATAACGAGATTATCATAACGACAAACATAAAAACCATAGAGATAACTCTATAGAACCGCACATCTGCGTTGTGATTTAAAACGGCCAAAAATTCCTTCCAAATTCAAGATTATGAATGGCCAATGAGCGCGGTGCTTTCTCGCGGGAGGGAGAAGGCTCCGCTCTGATTGGCCGTCGGGTTGTGGGCGGGGTGTTTGTCTTGGTGTGCGTGGAACGCGTTTGAATTTGAGCATGCGTTGGAGGACATTGGCTTGTATGGATTCGCAAATTGAGGGACGTTGTGCCGCGAGTTCGGGGATCTGTTCCATTATGACGATCGCTTCATGCTACACACTAATTAAGATACCTCTGTCTGTTGAGATTGTAGAGCTAAATTTCCTGTAATATTATAAATATCTTAATATTTCACTAAAATTAAAAATAAGTAAGATATAAGGCCCTGTAAAACAATTTTTCAGTTCCAAAGTAAATTTATTGTATGAGGCTTTCACGGCCATTTTGAATATATGTTACAAGGGTATGTAACGAGTAAATGACATCATCATCATTTTAATTAGGACGGCCGAACACCTCTAAAGCCAAAAAGAGAGAATCAAAATTGTAAATTTAACTAATGTTTTAAATAAAACACTTTTAACGGTAGCTGCCGTGATCAAGGTGGAATGACATTTGTTGTAAAGTCCGAAACGTCGGGCCTTAGATAAAACAATTATAAAATCTATTTCGCGATAAAAGTGTTGAATTAAAATTTTATAAAACTACAGACAATACAATAAGTCCAGCACAAGAACTAGGCACATTCTCTCAAGGTTCCTAACATACATAGGTATATTCCTTAGAAAATTGTGGACTAAGAATAAATAATATAATATATACATGCTAAAACTGAGAAAACAATAAATCCTACAAGTAGGTACGTAGGTACAATTAAGATGTGAATTTAGCACTTAAATTTTAAATAAGACCATTAATAGTAATTTCTATTTAACTACACTTTAACGGTTTAAAACGCAAAAAGTTAATTTTGAAAATGATTTTTAACTTCGGCAGTTTTGGAAGCTTTGCAGCAGCGTCACCCGTACCTCTTTTAAACCTTAAAGTGTTTTTTTAAATGTGCAATACTCGCATAAAATAGACAGTATTTAGTTACTAGTCAAAAGTGAAAAAAGTCAAGCCTAAGAATTACAAACTTTACCTTAAATACACAATAAAACATAGTTTAAAAAAATAACTATTACTTGGGATTGGCCTACCAATATATAATTTTAAAACAAGACGTTAACTGTTGATATTATGTTAAGTGTAGATATGTTAAGTCAGAAGGTACCTACTCTGACTTACGGCCGGTTCCATTAACGTATTGTCAGTCAACGACGGATATCCATCCCTGATAAACAGTAAAAGTTAAAGTAGCTGTAACTGGCGTGTCAATATTTTTTTGACGTGCCTATGAAAGATTAAATATGGATAGAGAGGCTACCTGCGGTACTTTTCCTCTCAAAGGTCTTAGTTCTACTAATAACAACATGATTCTAACTGCGATAATAATTAATGAATAAAAATTTTAACATACCTATCTACAGTAGAATATGCTATTGACTTACGTCTAAATTTATTTCAAAATTAAGATAGGCATACAAATAAATTATATGAATATTAAACACATAAATAGAAGTTTGAAGAATAGTATGTTATCTATCTTGGATTCATATCCACTTACTTAGGTTTGGTTGACATCAAGTTAAATTATGTACTTATAAATCTTAGTCCCTACCGACACGGTTTTTCGTAACATACATTCAATTACAAAAAAAAATCAAGTTGAGTTACGCCAAACACTTGAAATATTAATCATAACGTCATCTAAAGGCACTGAACAAAAAAGCAATAATTTCATCCTAACAATAGCACAACTTCCTCATAAAAACATAAACCACGTTCATATATAAAATTTGAAGTTAATATAAAATAAACCTTATCCTTATAGATGTACGTTTGTGTACGTTTAATGGTCAGTAATCTGAGACAATCATACGCATACATATTGCCAGCTTATCGTATTACACTGTACGTATGAGGTCACGCACACACTTGCAGCCGCGCTGTAATTGGTCGGGGTATGCGCTGGCGCATATATCACAGATCTTTTTGAAACATAATAAGATTTAGAAAGGTTGTCTGTCTGGTGTTTTGAAATGACCAGTTTGTTGCGTTGTTATTAGCATGGTTATGTAAAGTATTCGTTAATCGTTATCAACATAATTTATCGTTAGAGGTATTCGTTAATTAGTTTTAATATTTTTTCGTGTATACTCATTCATTATTAATAAATAGTTTTGAATGTGTATTCTAATCGCGATAACGAGAAATCTTTATTACGCTAATTTAAATTAACGATTGATAAGTATACATTTACTTAAATTAAAGTTCATTATTCTCATATATGTAAGTAAAAAACCCAAAATAATACAATAATCATATATCAAAGAGATAATAGATACCTATTATGATTCAGCACAAGAATACATAAAAAAATATTTAGTCCCTCGTACAATCTTATTCTAGAATTTTAATTAAAAATATACCAAATTAAAACGAATTGCTTAGTTATAGCTAGTAGGTAGTCGAGTGTTTGTTTGTTTTTTATGTAGACCACTCGCGCAAACTACAGGCAATACTTATTAACTATAACTTTACAAAAACATAGAAAAAATACAAAAACACAATATAACTTTCGCTAAAAACTGGTTTGATAAACACAAAACATAAAAGGGAAGCATTATTGACCGGATGTGCGGCCGACGCTATTGTATGCGCCATCTTGTTTTTATTAAATCGCGGCATTTTTGTTGTGAACTTTATTATGTAGCATTAATTATGTTTTTAATGGTAACGAACTCTTTTATTATAACATTTTAACGAGGTACCTACTGATGTAGCCACGGATAGCATTAATCTTTTAAAAGGACTAAGTCTTGAGCTTTACAACTATCTTCTAGGAAGCTACAAGTGTATTTGTTACCTTCCTTGAAATAAAAATTAAGTCTTTGTAAATTATGAAATAGTGTTATTAATATAATGCAATTTTAAAAGTGTTTTTCAGTAAGTAGTTGAAAATTATAATTTTTTTAAGAAGATATATTTTTTATTAGATGTTATTTGAATATTTATTAGAAGACTAAAAGATAAATTATATTAAAAATCAAAATATATTTCGGACGTTTTTTTCTGGCGAAAATTAACTTTATTTTACTTATTTATCTGGATTATTATTATTTTATTTTAGCAGAATAATTAGTACCCTATTAAATATTTATTCTCTCCAAGAAAGAGTTGTCAAACTCCTACTATACCCTTCAAACCTTCCAGTATGCTTGCAAAATCTTATTATTTATTCCATATTTAGTTCTTTTATATTATCTTCTATGATTTTGTCCGTTTCCATATGTTTTTGCCTTAATTTCGAGTACGCAAAGCATTCAGTTAGCTTGCTTGTTTTTTCACTCTCTTTGCATTCAGGACATAAGGGTGGCTGGTTACTTCTATTAGACATTTAGACGATAGTGTCACGTCATGATCTTTATCCGGCTGGCGTTATGGGAACAGTGTCCGAAAACACTGGATTTCGACGTTTAAAGTAATACTGGGCAACGCGTTTTTACCATTTTTTAATATAGAATATAGACAACCATGAAGTTTCACTTGATGGGAGGGGAAATAGTCCACGTATATAACATGCTCTGTCGACCCATTTTGGCGTTGTATTCGGAAATCCTCAGACTGAAACCGAAACGTGAAACTTCACAGCTTTTCCACGTAGAGACGGTGGTTCGTGACCCGTACGGATTTCAGATATCCCACCACATATTTAATATCCAGACGAAATCAAATATTTTTTTGAAAAATTATAAATTGAAAATTCTAATTTTTACTTGTTAGACCTGGTGGGGGTCGAATCCACGACCCGTTGATTATATGCCATACATTGCTACCATTGGTCCAACGAGCCCGTTAAAAACCTTTCCGACGGACGCGATTGACAAACTTTAAATAAAATAAAATCTAAATAAAACACTTTAATGGTCTCCCCGTGGCCACAGCTGCTGCAAAGTATCCCAAATGTATAAAATAATTTTCAAATAAGTTTAACTAATATACATAGCGTTTTGAACTGTTAAAGTGTTTCATTTAAATGTATACTACTGACAGTATTTAAGAGGAGATATGCTAAAAATCAGTGCACTACTAAAGCCATTTACCCTTTTAACAAGTGGAGACCACTTAACCTTCGCTTTTAAACCCACCATATAACAAAAAGAGATAATTAATAATTTCATAGATCCCTCGGTCATGCACCAAAGAACACCCATGTGTGTTTTTATATTCTATTGTTTAGTAATTTGAGATGGTATCGTCCTGGGGACGTTATACGGACCTGTACATTTCTGTACAGAGTTTTTATTATTGGTAATGAATTCTGTTTTAGGTACATTGTTAAAAGCTTTGCTGGATTTAGACAAAATAAAGCCTGGATGAATACGATGTACTGCTAATAATCGGATTATATATTTTTTTGAAAAATCTTAGAATTCATATTAAAAATTTGGATCATAAATAAATGGTACGAATATCAAAGTTTCGCTTGAGTCAAGAATCAATCTCGTACAAATGACAAATCCATAAATAGGTAGACGGCGTATCTTGTAGAATTGAAATTCCACCCCTCGTGGGACATGAGGCAAACACATTTCTGTGTTCGTTTTCCTGATCGGTTTTCTTAACAAGTACTAACTTGATCTGTTCTTTGATCTGCTGATTGATATGCTCCCTGTCCAATGGAGACAATCTATTGTTTACTTATTATTTCTCTCGCACTTAATGAAATAGAAAAAAAGTAAATTCTTATAACTTTAGTCAAATAGTTCGTTGGTATAACTAACTCTTAATTAATCCTTGGATTTACAATTAATGATGAGTTATGTGTACCAGCTATAAACATTAACAAAAGCGCGTCATGCGTCAGTGCACGCCCTAACATTCCCTTACATGCGCTGTATATTTTTTATTTAGGTAGTTGGCGCCTAACGCTAATATTTAAAAAAAATATGTTATCAAGGTGAACCTTTGAATATGGGAACATAACTAACTGTGCCAGCAACTTCGTCCACGTAGAATAGTTATTTTAGGCATCTACTTAATTTTATTTTGAAAACCTTCTCCTCATCTTTATAAAGTAAGTATAGCTGTTATCCACGACATCGGTCTCCTTCCGTCGTTCTTATTAATCGTAATATATACTCAAGCGGACATTTTTAGATGATTTAACGAGAAATTGCTTAATTCGTTTAGTTTCAATTATATTGATTAATAAAATACAAGTACTTCATTTCACAAGGAAAAGTAAGCAAGAGTTATAATGAACTATTGCTTAAAAATGTATCAATCACAAGTGATCAAACTAATACGAATCAGTATTAGTTTTTTAGATTATAATAGTTCTACAAATACCACATAAATATTGGTAATATTGGCGTTTAACAATCGTTTTAGAACGTATTCATAGTAAGTATAGCCCTAAACTACGCATGTAAATGTTAACACGCATGTGTATGTTTTATATCGAAGTTAAAACTATACACAACATACAATAAACACAGCAGCCATAAACCAATCAGAGAACAAATCAAACTCATACCCGCCGGAAACGAGCCAGGAAGCCTCTTCCCTCCATTCCAATTGTTCTATTTTTAAATTGGTGGCCACTGACGGATCCGTGTGAACTGGTTTAATTTGGAATGCTTTATTCGAAATTTAAATTCGACATTTATCACGAAACGATTTTACGTTGTATATTTAGTTCAAACATGGAAATATTCAAATTCGATTAGGTAATGTATATAAATTAAAACCTAAGATAACTGAAACTCCTGAAATATCTCAGTCAAAATTACATTTCCTCGAAGTGGAATTTCCTTTTTCACTACGAACGAAGACTGAAGAAAATCTCCAAAGAATATTCAACTAATTACGGATGGTACGCGACTGCTGACACCTGGCGGATGACGTTAAGTTTCCCGCCTTGTCCCCACTTCCGGTACGCCATCTTGTCCGCCATTTTAATTGCTTAAGGGTGCTCATAATTACACAGATAAAAATCTAGAGAGACTTCCCACAGATTTTGTATATTAACAGATTAATATATTTTTGTATTCCACAAAGTCCAGTAAAATTTATTTCTATTAATGGTAATCACCATTAATAGAAATAAATCTTACTGACCTACCCACATTTTAATTGAGTTTATAGTGAACAGTAATTACTGAATAACTTTTAAGTACAATATATAGTTATTGTTACGTATTTACGGTCTAATATACCTATTAAAGTTAAGTCAGATAATACATTTTGCGTTTATATGATTTCAAGCGTTTTATTATATTTAAGAACCTTGTTTACCAACAAATATTATTCGTATTACATTTTACTCTCTCATAAGGTTTGATTCGTCTAGCCTTTCCGTTCTATTTGTTATCCGCAAAATAGCAACAGTATCGTGGAACCCGGGTAAGAGTGTTTCTTACCCGGGTGGGGCGTTCACGAGGCGTGACCATCGATCCGTCACGCCTTGCGCGCGGTCGATACCCGGCTATCCGGGCGACTACACGGATATTGGATAGAATCGATGACAAGTGCATTACTGTAGTTTGCTATTATCAGTTTATTTATGTACTGAGATTAAATAAGACTTATTATGAACCTTATTACTGACATTAAAGATACAAATAGTTCTGTATCCTCTAGTTTTACGTGTCTTTATGCGATAAAAATAACGTCTAGGACTTCCAATGAAATCGGTTACTTTTTATAGTAAAGTCAAGTAAGCAAAAAGTTTTCTTTTAATAAATCATTGTAATTTAGCAACGATATAAAGTTGCTTTAAAAGGATTTTATAAACATATTACCTATTGAATTTAACTAGTAACACTTATGAATTTTAGTTTAAAACAAAAATAGAGTATTTCCTCCAACCATTTCTGACATAAAGACGTAGAACAAACAAAACCTGGCAAGAGTTTTGCCGGCAATCTTTTTGTCTCCACCTAATACCTACTTAGAACCTATTTATAACTTAGTATACTTGTAAACAACAGTCATTCGTAAGTAAGGACTCGTCTAATGATAATATTGTATTCCTAATAACAGCTACGGATTAAGAATTCCTTAACATATTTCTGATTTATAATCTTTCGGACTTTGTCTGGAAACTCTTGATGGACCCGACCCGAAAATAATTTTGATATTCCTACCACCTAGATACAAATGTCGCGTCACGAACCTTCGTACTCATGTAAAAGCAATGAAGTTTAATCGGGTCAGTTTCAGTCAGTGGATTTCCGAACGCTCAGAGCCAACATAGATCGACAGTACATCTTGTTTAGGCTGGGGTTTTTACAATCTACCAACCTCATACTTCTCCCTGACTTAAATTAGAAAATAGATAATTGTCTTAGCTCATGTGAAGATTACATGGGCTATGTCAATGCACATTTTACTTAAAGAATTAATTTGTTATTTCTTTCCAGGCCATGGTGGCGTCAACCAACTAGGCGGTGTTTTTGTAAATGGAAGACCTTTACCCGACGTGGTTAGACAACGGATCGTAGAATTGGCGCACAGTGGTGTGCGACCGTGCGACATAAGCCGACAACTTCGGGTATCGCACGGATGTGTCTCAAAAATACTCTCTAGGTAAGGTCTTTGAGATATAGAGTCAATATAGATTTCATACAACATCACACACATTTGCAATCGTAGCGGCGATTCAAAAATATTGCTACAAAAGGTTTGAATTAATAATATACAATCATTTTACTTCATTTGGGAACTTCGTGACCAAATCCTCAAAACTTTCAAAATTCAACAACGTATGCGACAAGTATACTAAAAAAACTGAGATATAAATTAAAGTAAAACATATTCTAAACCCAGGGTTTAGAACTCAAAACATATTTGTCAACTCATATAGGTACCACGACGATCGACGTTTTTGAACCCCTTTGACCGCGGTTGAAGAGTTAAGTTCAGATTATCGAAAACTTTTTGCGTTTTAAACCGCTATATATGTTTTATTTATATGCATTATACTCATGTTAACAACAGACAATACTTCGTCTGAAATATAAAATAAAAGCAATGAAATTGCAATAACATTTTTCCTCTCTCCAAAAACCAATAAATTTTAAGAAACTAAATTTACGAGGAATAGTATGATATGTTACAAAGTATAATGTTATAATATCAAATTAATTAAATAAAAATATATGCCCTGATAAAGTTAACACGGGCTAAGTTTGTTGGCTGATTTTTCAGCTTACAGATCGTACAAAGTCATAGACAAACTTTACTAAGACACAAATGATTCATATACGACTACGTTCCGCGACGTGGGCACAGCGCGTGCGCGCAGTTTGTCCATCCGTTAGACATTACGCTTATGTCATTTACTATTGTTCTTTTGTTTTATATGGCTGGTAATTTTAGACTTGAGCCTATCTCGGTTGCTATTGGCTTGAAAACAATAGTTATGTAAAAGCAGAAGAGTATAAAAAGCATAGGGGATAGATTGCCTCCTTGACAAAACCTCTAACAATATAAGCCCGTACAATGTTTTAGAGAATTGAAAATATTTTGTAAATTACTAAAAAACAGACACATAATTTAAGCTTTTGATGATATAATTAAATTGATCATTGTAAATGTAAGAAATTATAAAATTTGAAATAACACGTTATCCAAGGCCTTCCAAATCCAAATATCTTGAAGAAATTATAATTTTCAAATTGGATTTTTATTTACATTTTTTGTGTACAGTACATTTACTAATATGATGTACATAAACAAGACTAAAAGAGTATAAAGCTACTGATTTACCTGCATTTAAAATTTTTGTTTGAATCTATACTATCCTTATTACCATAAACATACTATTTCGTTAATATATGTCTAAATGTTATTACTTTAAGTGAATCGATCTCTTTCAAGTCCGCCTATGAATCAGTTGCAGTATCATTCAAATATATCTTCTCTTTGCATGTAGGTACTTGCAAAGAGGAGATAATAATAAGAGTTGTATTGTATGTTAACTTAATAAACCCCAAATGAAATCCCAACTCACAATGATATGAATGAAACGAGCATCGCTCGGACACTGCTATTGTCTGATTTAAATTGAAACTGACCCGCTAGGGTTGTGCCAACGAATCGAGTAAGCAAATTACAGTATCTATCACACATATTGCCACTATTGAAATACCACACAAGCACAGGACAATCTACCAAGATAAAAGTATTGTAATGTATAATTTGACTAGCTGAGTCGGCGACATCGTCCCCATAGAATAGTAATTTTTTATAAATTTTAACTGTTACCCACGACAGAGGTCCGGGGAACCGTCAAGTTAGCAAGTTAATTTTAAGAGATTCACATATAGTTTCCTAAACATTTTTTTCGATAATTTAAAGAGAAATCATTCAATCTTAAACATTATTTGGGTATCTTAAACCGTTCTTGCAGCGTACGGAAAGCCACAAAGATGAATGTTTCCCCGTTTTTTCCACTTTTCCCGCTTTTTTTCGATACCATTAGTCACATTGCGATGTTTTATAGCCTTCCTTGATAATTGCTCTAACAAAAAATAATAATTTTTCAATTCGAACCAGTATTTCCTGAAAAACAAACTTTTCAGGTTTATATATTAGTATAGATTACTGCGAGCAATCCTACGTAGAAAATGAATAATCCTTCAACATTATTTTAAACCGGGAATGTAACTCGGTGCCCATTAAGGCAGTCATGGGTTAGATCTTGCTTATTGTTCTCATTATTAGACTATACATATCTACTTAACTTATCAAGAAGCCGTTTTACCAAGGATTGTGTTAAGCACGAAATTATAATGTTTTCTTACAATTCTTACTCTATGGATTGAAATTACAAACGATCTATAAAACGGATATACAAATGTGTCTATCCTATGCCCCTTATTTAAAACTTGTTCGCAAAACATTGTTATACAAAAAATGGTATTTTAAGATTGTAGTTCTTTTGCTTAGTTCGATAAATTAACAGTCTTGTTCCTTCTTATCATCTGATGACGTCATCCATCATACAAAAACATGCATTACATCCACTCCCAGCACATCCCTAGTCCCACGGGATTGCCCTGAATAGAAACAGTCGGTATTGTTTTTCAATTTATTTGCCCTCCGCGTCTCTGTTTTGAATTTATCCAACAATGCAATGCTATTTCTGTCTTCCTGTTCTTATAACATATATAATATAATGATGCGACAGTATTTATCATGTTTGAGACCTGAAAACACCAATTAGAATAATAGTCTGTCTTATATAATAGACTTAATATTATAAAGCTTTGTTTTGTTTGTGTGATAGCGAACTCAGAAACTAATGATTCGAATTGAAGAAATATTATTGAGTTGGTTGCACTGTTTATCGAAGAAGACTAAAACATGAGACTGCGATCAATAGGACCGAAATAATAGAGGGAAATGTAAAAAAATGTTGCTGCTGTTGCTGCGAAAACAAAAAATATTTATAGCAGAATGTTTAAATAAAACACTTTAACGGTTTAAAAAGCAAAATATTAGTTAAACTTATTTGAAAATGATTGAACTTCGGCCCGACGTTTCGGATGCTTTGCAGCAGCCGTGGTCACGGGGAGACTGAATCAGGGACGGGGAGAATCATTTTCAAATAAGTTTAACTAATATATCGCGTTTAAAACCGTTAAAGTGTTTTATTTAAATGTGTACTACTCGCGTAAACTATAAACAGTATAGCAGAATGATTATTTTTAATGATCTAAAAAGTGTCCTCAACCGTATAATTATGTCTATCTTTTAAAAATTGCTCACAAGTATTCTTTTTATGATAATCAAACTTGCTCGAACTCATTTAGCAATTTAGTTAGAGTTGTATCAAAAAAAATATTAATATTATATAAACTATTATAATAATGCTAGTTTAATATAAAATTTAGAACATATCTAATTTAACATACCGGTCAATATGTTAATAACATTTTGCCTATATGTATCAGTGGCTGTAAGTCGACAATAAAAAATAATAATATTGTTTATTATTGATATAATTATAATATAGCTATTTTCTATGCCAATGAATATTTCGTTCTTTTAGTGTCACATTGTAATCATTAGCACGCCTGTAAATAGCTTATTACAGGCGTGTCTGTGAATAGCTTAAGTATATACTTAGCTTAGTCTTCAAGCAAGGAAACGCCCACCGATCAGTGTCAAAGAAGAAATTTCCTGGTAAATATTAAAAACCGAAATCAGAAAGTAGTCCAGTCCTGTGTCCGTATATAATAATTATTACCTTTTTTCTGTCTGTACGTCGGCAGGCAGAAAGCGTGACCATTGCCACACTTCCGTTTCCACACACAAACTATTTTTGAACCTTATCTCCGTTAAATAAGAGCTATATTCCTTCGACAAATTGCACCCAGTGTACACTTGGCAGAGTAACATCGTAGTTCTATTTATTTATAGGAAAATGTGTTTTATTCTCAATATTTAAGAGCGTACGTCGTTTGAGCACTGCGTACGAATTACAGCTGTACTTGTTTCAGACAATTAGAATTAAGAATAAGTACAGTAACGCACGATCTAGATTTTTGCAGATATCATTATAATTAATCAAGTACGTAATTAGGTTTATAGCGTTAGACTGAAGAGAAAATAATGATGAACAGACTCGTTGGTGTAATGGTAGCAATCTAATAATCAACGGGTCACAGGTTCGATCTTGACCGGGTTCAATATTTTTCTAACCAATTCATCATTCTTATTATATATTAAATAGGTATAAATAACGAAATTCACAATACAATTAAAAATAGAAATGTTTTTTCGGTTTCGAACAGTTAATCCGTGAATATAATAGCTTACTTGTTTTAAATTTAATTGAAGTTGTTATTGAAGTTTCGCATGCTTGCAGCAGCCGTGGTCACAGGGACCTTAGATGAAGGGTCACACCACCGTTTATACTGTCAATGGTTGGTTTTAAACCGTTAAAACAATACTCACTTTCTAAACTGCAAATTAATTCAATTATATTCGACTTAATGTGACGTTAGTTATCACTTGTATGTATATGGTATGGTATGTGTCAATAGGCTGCAGAAATTCATAGATGACGTGTAGAACACGACAGCGCAATTGGTTGAAGCAACATTATGGAAAGCTGTTAATGTCAGTTCAAGTCCTGCCCGTGTCGTAAATTCCATCTAAAATCGATTTCTAATACGTATGACATTGGGTAAGCTTCAAGTTAAATACGTCACGCATAACTGTATACAGTACATATTTCTGACTCATTAGCCCAACAATCCACCAACACAAGAGCAATAACGTGTAAACCAATTTCGTGAACAACATATTGACAATCTAGATAAGAGGCGACTAACAAGCTTATAAGCTTGTGGGAGCTTAAAGCACTCAACGTATCAATATTGAATCGTGATACGCGTTGCCCTTCTCAACTGGGATGACGTCACAATATAGATAAAAAATCTTTTAAATAAAACCCTTTAACGGTTTAAAACGCGATATATTAGTTAAACTACAGTCTCCCCGTGACCACGGCTGCTGAAAAGCATCCGAAACGTCGCGCCGAAGTTAAAAATCATTTTCAAATAAGTTTAACTATTATAACGCGTTTTAAAACGTTAAAGCGTTTTATTTAAATGTGTACTACTCGCGTAAACTACATACAGTATTCAAAAATGTTTTGTTATACATGTATTCCAATATTATGAACCTGAAGAGTTTGTTTGTTGAAAGCCCGAACCTCAACTGTTGGTTCGAGTTGAAAACTTATTTTGGTGTTGTTTAGAGAATTTATCGCGTAAAATTAATATTAGAATATCACGCTTCAACCAATAGGCGCGACGAAGCAGTTGTAAATGTGGAATAAACGGGGGAAATTATTCATTTTTGTGGGTCTCCACTGCTTGCGCTGCGAAAATGGTTCAAGATACAAAAAAAATGTGTAAAAATGATTCCTCTTTAAACGATCAAAAAAATACGTACGGCAGTGTAAGGGGTATATGGGTAACAGCTTTAATTTATAAAGATTAGGAGGAGGTTTGCAAAAATAAATTTCAATGCCAAAAATAAGAATAGGTACCTAGATTTCACGCGGACGAAATCGCTGGAACAACTAGTTATTTATACCTATCGAAATCTACGATTTGCAAATTCCCGTGAACAAATCTCAATGTTGACAACACAGTATTTTTTTAACAGACACCATTTGTGTTTTGAAATGGACCTGGTGGCTCTCAACATCAAAACCCATGTAATAATGTTGAACCGAGACAGGAGCGCTGACGATGCCGGATCAAGTCCTGCCCAAATCGATTATTTTTTCAATTTATTTTCGATTTTTAATTTATATAATGGTTCTATAAGTTGTAAGAATCCTAAAAATAATTCCGTTATATGTATGAATTTTTAAAATAAAACCCTTTAACGGTTTAAAACGCGATATATTAGTTACCGTTAAAGTGTTTTATTTAAATGTGTACTACTCGAGTAAACTATAGACAGTGTATGAATTTTGTTTGGTAAAAATCTTTAAAAGTGCCTACCAAGAATTCATTTAATATATTGAACAAATGTAAGTGTCAGTCTATTCTGGTTAAATGCTACTTGAAATATGTCCGTTTTAATGTAAAGAGCATACTCTAATGTAAATCTCCCTGGTGTAGAACCCTTTTTGTCCCAAAGGACTAAAAACACGGACACCCTTGTTTTCATGTACAGTCACGGATAAAATACGAACTAGTCTAATAAAACAATTTGACGGATTGTAAAAAAAATTTAAATGTTCGTTGATGGACATTAATTAAAAACACAACACGGGAGCCGTGTTGGTCGCAGATTCGAGTCATTTTTTAAATTAATAAATTATTTATTAATGTTATGCTGAATGATTTGTTTAATAATTTACTTCCCTTTTAAATTAAAGTAAAAATTACTCGGCAAAGTTAAGACACTTCCATAATATTATGAACTAGTTTAAACCCACTTTTGTCAGTGACTGTCCCCTCTCACTTAGGGTGTGATCACACTCATAATTGACTTATCAAGATACAAGCACCCCTAACGCAAAATTACTTAAGTGCGGTGCGATCCGATTAGATTTATCTGCTTATTAAGGCAAGTATTAGCCACTTGTATTTTTGTATAATATAATTCGAACTAGTATGACAGCCTCTGGTTTAGTGGTTGAAGACATTGCATTGCGTTTTATTTAAAAGTTTCTGCGTTAGAATCCTAGACTAACACCCTCTATCTTTTGTCTTAACGTGACCACAGCTGCTGCAAAGCATCCGAAACGTTGGGTCGTAGTTAAAATAATTTTAACTAATATATATCGCATTTTAAGTGTTTTATTTAAACATCATTTTTAGTAGCGAGAGAGAGAAAATAAGAAATTTCACTTAAGTCCACAAGCATGTTAGGCGTAGCAAAAGCTTTCTTTCTACGTTTCCACGAAAACGTCTACGGCGTAGCTATACATAGTGAATACTTTGCTAAAAGTAGACAAAAATGCGTCTCATGTCGTTTAGGACTGATAATAAGCCCAAAGTTCAACAAAATTCGTAATTCAAGCTTGTTTGTCCTCTGTCAAAAAAGGAAGACCTGCTGTTGTTTTGTCTTAGTATATTTAGTGCTTGTTACTAATGTCATACACCAGCCATATAACATATAACAATCAAGATGCCCTGTTGTATTTCAGATATAATTAATTAATATAGTTTTTCATCTGTAAACGGTGGTTCGTGACCCAGACAGAATTTAAATAATCTTACCATCCAATTAATATCCTCATTTTCTGATAAAGTCTAAGATGTTTCAGAAAAATTATGTTCTACCTGGTAGGGTTCGAATCCACGACGCGTTGTAGCCAATCAAAGAATAATATTTAGTATTGTTTTGGAATGTTGCTAGGTAGCAGAATTGTAGAAGAACATTTTTTTTTAATAAACATTTATTGTCAGTTTGAGTTTTGTGTTTATAATAAAATTAATATTTCAATATATACACTAACTTTAACTTCTTTAATGCCGACGACATAAAAAAACTCCACTAAGCACTTTAAAGTGGGGTTGTAATAATCGAATTGTCAAAATACCCTCCATTATTTTATTGAGCAGGCGAAATTTAATTTAGCTATAATGCCACGTCCCTCGGGAGTGGGCTGGGTTCTAGGGTCCATGTTTATGGTTGATTTGGGAATACATTGATTGTTCACTGATGATGCAATATGGTGTGATTTCGCGCTGATGTTATTGTAATAGTTTGTAGACTACCCTCCTCCACACAGACAGAAATTGAACCGGCATCCGTAGCGCTCCTACACGTCATCGTCGATTTTTTCAAGCCATTGATATTATGCACCGTTCGCGCATATGTAATTTCAATCTTAACACTTACGTATTAATTCCGATATAAAGCCTGCTCACTCTTGCAATAAGCGTAAAAGTCCCAACTGTCAAATACCAGTGAGGGACAAAAGTAACTAATTTAGGGAAATTTGTATTCTCTACATAGTTTTAGTAATGGACGTAAAAATTCATCATTGTTTTTCGGGTTGTTCATAAAAAAATCCGATGTCTATTTTGTGTTTTTAATTATCAATATTAAAAATAGTTTTACTGGTAATATTATGAGGAAAGAAGTCCTCAATCCTATTGTCTGTACATGTGCCCCGAATTTGGTCTTCTTATGATTCTTAGCTACGATACTTTTTATACAAATAAAAAATTGTAGAACACCAATATAACACATGCATATAAATATACCTTATCCCTCATACAGTGTGTTAAGCAGACGGCCTCGGCCATCAACAATTTAATGGCGATGCTTCCCACCATGCTATACTAAGGCAGCGTAGTAGGTTTATGTTTTAAAACCTTTTCTCCTCTGAGAGAGACCACGTCGCTTTAGATACAGTGTTCAAAGTTATATTTTTGTTGCTTATCTTTTAGTATCCACCATTTCGTCATACATCATGAACTAGTGGATTAATTACGCAGTTTTAAAAATATATATTTCAATAAATAAATATACTGTAAAAATATTTTTTTCATGTTCCCCCAGGTACTATGAAACCGGTAGCTTCAAAGCCGGCGTGATAGGCGGTTCCAAGCCCAAGGTGGCGACCCCTCCAGTGGTAGATGCCATCGCCGCCTACAAACGTGAGAACCCTACCATGTTCGCGTGGGAGATCCGCGACAGACTGCTCAGTGAGGGTATTTGCAGTCAAGACAATGTACCCTCAGTTTCCAGTATTAATAGGTGGGTAGAAATCTTATAAGTTCGAAGTTTGAAGGGTTAACCTACAAACAAATACTGTCTGAAGGCTACGAGAGTACTCATTTTAATTAAACACTTTAACGGTTTAGAACGCGATATATATTAGTTAGACTTATGTGGATATTATTTTAACTGCGGCCCGACGTTTTAGACGCTTTGCAGTGGCCGTGGTCGCGTAGTTAAAATAATTTCAAATAGTTATTTTAATTATAAATAGTTTATTACACTAATATCTCATAAAGTAAATAAAACAGTATTAACGGATACAATAATTATATTATTCAATTACTTCTTAGTATGATTTGACGTTTGAGATGCTTCACAACTATCGAAACTACATCTTAAATATGTTTTACTCAAACTCACGATCATTGACACAGATAAGAACATTAACAACACAATAAATACTAGCTGTAAACGCGACTGCGTCCGTGCAAACAACCTCCCTCAGTTTTACAAGTTAAAACCGTGACGTCGGTCGCGTCCCGTCCTTCTTGCCAGTTTAGTTTAACAGATACACATATACTGTCACGCACATATTCGTACATTTGAAGCATAATCAATCTATCATACATATTTTTTGGACCGCTTCCGCAGCGCACGCGACGGCAGCCCTCGAAGATTTTCTCCGTTTTTCCACATTTCTCTCCGTTCCTCCGCTTCTATTGATCACAGCCTGATGTTTTGTAGTGTCTTCCTCGATTAGTGTCCCAACCAACACAACAAATTAAATAAGTAGTTTCTAAGATACCAAAAAACTTTTTAGCTTTAGAATATTAGTATAGATAAATCTGTCACTTACGTATATTTTATTTGACAAGTAATTTTTATTCTGTACAAATTCTGCCCATGCGCATAGATTTACTGGTGGATTTATTTGGTGTTAGTGTCGATATAATTTCACTCTAATGCCGTCTTGATAACCCCTGCACTTATCGGGAACGATCGAGTTTTATTGTCCCGTAATGGACTCGGATCTAAGGGGAGAAACGATGCTCTGATGTTTTTCGCCGTGAGCTATATCTATACTAATATTATAAAGCTGAAAGTTTGTTTGTTTGAACGCGCTAATCTCAGGAACTATTGTGCCAAATTGAAAAAATATTTTTGTAATATTTAGAGCACTTATGAGGGAGACTATATGACATCACGCTGCAACCAATAAGGCATGGAGTGAAATGTGGAAAAAACGTGGAAAATATTCATCTTTGAAGGCTCTTGTTGTGACTATATTTTAAGATTAACTTGCAGGAACGACGGGATACGACCGACGTTGAGATGTTTTATTGCTTTAACAAAAAAAATCAAATCAGTGATTCCTGAGATTTGCATGTTTAAAAAAACAAACTCTTCAGCTTAATAATATAAGTATATATTACTCTTTGTACTTGTTCCAAAGCTTTACGTAGGTCATTCAAAATACAAGGCTATATATTCAGTGTTTTATATTAGAGAGTCTAACGCAATATTTATCGTAGTTTAATAATTTGGTGTCTGCGTATTAATTAATTGTGCATGAAATGCCACTGTGCTTTCAAATAAGATAATATTAGTAATCAGTTATCACGCTACCGTTTATTAATTTATTTTATCTGCGGTGATAGATCGTGTTTGTATTCGATTACATGGCTTATTACACAAAACATTTTAGATTAGATATAAAAACGTTTAATTAAATTATTATAATGCACCTTTCACAAATACGCGGTATTAAACGAATAAAGACTTTTGAACGAAAGTTTTTTTATACCGGTAAAATTCAAATAGTCTATATTTACATCAAAAACCATTACAGGACATCATTTCTTAGTTTATTTTTAACTATAATATAGCAACTTTGATCACCACGGCTGCTGCAAAGCATCCGAAACGTCGGGCCGTAGTTAAAATAATTTTCAAAGAAGTTTAACGAATATAGATCGCGTTTTAAACCGTTTAAGTGTGTACTAACTCGTGAAAACTACAGACAGTTTGATCTCGTTTTGAGTGTATAGTACAAGAAAAATGTCTACCTTTATAACAAGAAAATAACTTTAATATATAATAAATCATACATCGTCGCAATAGAAAGAAAACTTGCCATAACCCTAAATTCCCCGAAAATGGGGAAATCTCGGCAGTTTATATGTTTATTATATGTGAATGGCAATAATTCAATGGATGTAGCGGAGGATTTCCGGTGCGCGTGAAGCACGTGTCCTTGTTTCCGGTGCCGCCATCTTTGTATCCCCCCTCAACGTCCGGTTACTTACAACCCCTTGCGTTCGCTACGAAAAGTGTTATATAGATTATATAGAGATACTACTAAATCTGACAAAAGGCAGCATCACAACATAAACAAAGCAACTAACAATCATAAAAATCTAGTTGTAAAAGTAGTTGGATGCATTGAGAGATTAATTAAGTCTGTCTTTTTTTAACGTGATTAAGTAGGTATTCGTTATTTTATGATAATAGATGTTCTCTTAGAAGCTTGAAATAAAAAACAGAAAATTATAATATAATCTGATTTATTTTATTACTTCAAAATTGCATTTTTAAAGTTGAAGTCAATTTTAAAGCAATTCAGTGGAAGGGCCATTCTCACAACCCGGCACGTGACCGCCGCGTGTGCCTAATGTCGTGTCGTATATCGTCTCCTGTGGTCTATTCAACTATAAATACGATTCTCTTTAAGTATCGATACAAGGGATTACCTTAGATATTGAAGAATAGAAGAGTACTTTAAAATTAAGTTAAAAAACTAAATATTTTTCACATGTTATTGCACATGATGGCACTAAGTATATAAATTAAAAATTGATTGATAATTGAAAATACGACACGGGCAGGACGAACCGGCATACAGAGCGTTAACACGGTAGCTCGTTTGGTTAGCACGGCACGCTGTGGCTCCTGGGTCCAGTCCTGCTCTGTAGGTAGAAAATCTCTTTAGGTAGAAACAATTCAATTATAAATTCCTTGGTACTGCATAAATTAAACGATTGACCGCTATTGAAGTTCTTATCTGCTTGAAAAATAATATTTCAAAACAACTTTTATACATACATATTTTCAAATTAATGAATAACTGTTCTCTCTACAGGATAAAAATATAAAATAAAATGAATGCTTAGTTGCAAAAAAGACATTTTTAATCGAAGCCCCGCCGCTGTGTGGTAATTGAAGTCATAATTCTAGCAACCCCAATTTGACATTTGAGTTTTTTGCGCGCGAAACTGAATAATTTGTCTGATAGACAATTTAGGCTGTTATTTTGTGGGGTCAAACATGAGGACGGGGGACGTTGAAAGATTTTTACTCTAGAGCTTATCATTTTACATATAAAGATAAGATATATAAAAACAGCGCGTTAAAAAATTCTTATACTTATTCCTGACTATTCTAGTAAACTAAAAATCGACTATAAATTGGAACAATTCTTTACATGGGTACGACTTGAACCGGCATCCACAGGGTTCCGAGCTGCTCTAACAGAGCAGTCCTGGTTAGAGCAACCGTGTCCTACAGTCCCTGTGTGGTCCAATCGATAAATAAATAAAAAACTAATTTATTGCGATAGTACGGAAAACATAAATAACCGATATTAATCATAAAATTTTCCACAATGCTCCATTCTTCCGTTAGGGAAAGGAGTACATTTATTACATAAAACATGAATATTGCACGGAAATCAATCCACTATTTTTGTTGCATTGTTAAAAATATGTTTGTTTCGTACTAAAATTACATACAATAAATAAACTACAAAAAATCTAATTTACTAAAAGACAGGGGTGATCAATCAAAACCTTTATGATGAGTATATTACGACCTAACCTTTTTATAAGTTTGCGAAACAATTTTTGCATATGTCAACCCACGAGATACTGGCAATACTTCAACGGGGCCATTATCCATCATGGCGGGAAATGAACTGTCAACGACTTGGCGGGAATCATTCCAGCCGAGCGAAGTTGATGGTTCAATTTTGGCTAAATAATTCAAACATTATATTGTGTGCCGATTGTTTATTTAGTAATTTGCTTTAAACATTTTGAATTTATTTGCTGTTGATTTTATTGTAATAATTTATCTCTTATAAAAAATTCCTTTACCAAATTAGAAAATATCAATTCATATAATGTGTTACAAGTTTAGTATTATTGTTTCGACCGCATGCTATAATTTCAAAATTAACATCTTAAATAATAAAAAAACAGAAATAACGGTTAATTAATCGTTTGATTTATAAACTTAAATATTGTCCTACAAGTCAACTTTGATCACCACGGCTGCTACAAAGCATCCGAAACGTCGGACCTTAGTTAAAATAATTTTCAAAGAAGTTTAACCAATATAGATCGCGTTTTAAACCGTTAAAGTGTTTTATTTTAATGTGTACTTCTCGCGTTAACTGCAGACGAGCTTAAATGAAATTAATATATTTAGTGAATATATAATTGTTCTAAAGACACTCCATGATAAATTAAGTCTATAAATGTTTTTTGTATTATATTTTTTCAATTCTCATTAGAAAGTTAACTTCAAAAAGCTTAAGAAAGCGAGGAACTCAAAATCATGCAAGCATTTAATAATTGTATTTTGCGCAAACGACATATTGTATTAGTTAATTTATTAACCTAAACCAATCTATGACCCTCGTTTTAAACCGTTAAAAACGGTATCTATTTATATTCATATAACTAACGGACAGGATGACTACTTATCTACTTAGATATAATAATATTACTGCATCTTGCGTCTACAAAATTATGATAGCAATGACAAGTATTATCCATTAGCCGTATAAAAAGGCCCCCTACGACCACGACACGTGCCGCGACATCGCAACGCAATTTACATGCGACCGCTACGATTTGTTCCGCTTCCGAAACTGTGCGGCTAATTTATCACTTTTTGCATTTTAATGATTTATTACTGAAGTTCCAGACGTTTAGATGGTAGAAACGGGTCGATAATTGAGGCTGCTATAGGCGGTTTAATAAAAAAAATGTTTTTCAGTAAGAAGGAAAATAATAATGCGCAATTATCTTGGGCGAAAATGAATTTGTACTATTATTTCTGTCACAATTATGTTAACACTTTTCGGCCACTGTGCTCTTGTAGATTAACATTTTTGGACTATGTTTAGTCATGAAATTGAAATTAGGCCACTCTGCCTCTAGCTGCCTCAGTTATCATTATCAATGATTTTCAATTTTTAAGAAATTGTAATACAAATGTGGTAAGATGAATAGGTTGAAAAAAATCGACGATGACGTGCAGGACACCGTATCTCAATAGGTTATAGCAACAGCACCGAATGCTGTAGATGCCGGTTCAAGTCCTGTCCGTGTTGTAAATTGATTTTAATTTAAAAATCGATTTTTAAACTATAATAACACTAATTCTTAAACTCTTTGAAACTATTTATTTACGAAGATACAAAAAATATACGATTTAAGACTGCTTTATATATTAGAGAAGGACAGACGATGGTAAGATCCCCAGCTAGGACGATCATTGAACGTGTTTCGGAAAAATGTTAGACTCGGCGAAAATCAAACCCACGACCCGTTTATTACTAACCATACCATCAACGAGTAGGTCAGCTGTAGCTTAACCTAACCAATTTTTTTTGTTACTAGATTTTTATTGTAGGTTCTTTACCCACAGGCACATACAACATTTTTATAATTAAGACATCACTTCCAGGATTGTTCGTAATAAAGCAGCAGAGAAGGCGAAACACGCTCACAATCAGCAGCAACAGCAGCAGCAAGAACAAGAGATCAGTTCCGCTCAAGGCAGTGTCGTTTCTGTGAGTAGAATTAGAATATTAAGTATCGGACACAAAATGTTATTAAATAAGGATTCTTTAACGCGTGGTACTCAATAATTAAGTAAATAAATAAAACACCTTTAACGGTTCAATACGCATTAACTAATGGGGGGATGGGGGGAACATGGGACGGATGACCTCGACTGCTGTAGAACATCGGAAACGATGGGCATCATTTGAAATACATTGCATATAACTTAACTAATATATTTCTCGTATTAAACCATTATTAATGTTTTATATAAATGTAACTACTCGAGTAAAAGACGATACATAAATGTAAGTATTATATAAACCCTTGAATGTAAGTATAATATTGGTTGTTTTTGGGTCTAATACTTCGTTAAACAGATATTTAAGACCTGGATTGATAAAATACTTTAAAACTCTCCATAACGATTATATTCGAGTTTTAAAGCGCAAAACATGTTATTCATAATAACGACCCGACGTTGCATACGCGTTTCGCCATTTAAACCGTTAAAAGTAGTTTCTTTGATAAACCACTCGCGCTAGTTATACTTTTACAAACACATTCTTTCAATATTCTATTTTCTAGGTGATAACCCACGCTGGTAACGCTGGAACAACAGCCGTTCTATCACCAACAACGGAGCAACACGTCACAAATAGTGGTAGCTACAGCATCAATGGAATCCTTGGTATTGAACAAGTGGAGAGCCTTCATAACGGGAACGGGTTGAAGAGAAAGAGACACGAAGACCAGGGTAAGTATTGGATCCTAAGTTTTAACGAAGCATGGATAAGCATGTATTGAAGTTGATGTGACTGTTCTATTTCGGCTCTTTAACTAAAAACATTATTTTTGACAAGCATGAGGTTCTCTTAATGGTAGCTAACCTATCTTGGCTTTGGATATGCAGAAATCCACAAACTGTAACCTAAACGCGATTAAATTTCACGGTTTTTTCATCTGTGGATGGTGGTTCGAGACCCGGGCGGAATCTCGAATTTCCTACCACCCATTTAATATCCAAATTTCCAGAAGTCCGACATGTTTCAGAACAAATATAAAAAGAAAACGTTTGACCCGGTGTGGATAGAATCCACGACCCGTTAATCGTAAGCCATCCATTGCTACCATACCAACTATATAACATTAAACATGTGTAGCCAATGTTAGTGAAAAGGTCTACATTGTACCAAAGGTTGTCCTTGAAACCGCCAACTAATTGTAATAATAAACTAACAAATTTAGTTGGAAGTCTAAAATATCTTAATGTAACACATCTCCACATGGGACCGGCAATATGTAATACATAATGCGACGTACACGGCGGGATTAAAACGCGTCTTCTAACTGCGATAGTGATGTCATGACATCGATACAATTTCACAACGGTTAATAAGCTTTCCTAAGCTTTTCAAATTATATAAATTTCTTTATCATACTCTAAGAAGTGATAAAAGAACAGAGTATCAAATTTCGTTTTTGTCTCACGATGAGTTTCGAAATATCGATAATTATAATCAACGATAGCGCATCCCTAGCGTCCCTTCTATAGTGGTGTGCGCGGAGCGGAACCAGCAAGATTTACTGTGCTATTAAAGCCAGCACAAATTGTGGCCATATTATATTAACTTATAACTTCTCTTTAAATTCTAACCCCTTTTCCGGAATCGCGGGACTATCATAACCGTAGATTGTCGAATTGGGGACTGCTCTCAAATGTTTCACTTGTATATTCCGAATTTGTAATTTCGTTGACTTGATGGTTTGTAGTTACTCCCCGGGATTCAAATCCGGGACCAGCGCTTGGCGTTATGCGTTTAAACATTGTTCAAACATCTCAAACCGTCGCCGTATTTCTTGTTAGCTTAATCGTATTGTCTTTTGTTTTTTCACCAAATTGGATTTTTTCCATGTTTACGTTTACAATATTAAAGGCAAGGTGTACTTCCAATGTTAACAGATGAGAACAGAGACTTCAACAGTCATTCGGAAGACGACGTGAAGAGACAGAGAAGTCATTACAATGGAGACCAAATATATTCTAACGTAAGTTTTATTCAAACAATAGTTAAACCATCTTTTTTTTATTTTATTTAAAAGGTTTACACGATTGATAGAGTAATTTACCAAATGTTATAATAAACATTTGCTGGTCGCACTTACTCTCTCACAAAAAAAATAATATAAGAACCAAGACACCCTATGTTACTCCAATGTGGAGTGGTGGGCTTCAACGACTAACATCACAACTTTAGTAATTAAACGCTGTCTGTAGTTTACACGAGTATAACACACTTAAATACAACACTTCTAACGGTTTAAAACGTGAAATGTATTAATTAACGCATTTACAATTTATTTTAATTACGGGGCGACGTTCTATTGTGACCACGGTTGCTGCAAAGCATCCGAAATTTCGGGCCTTTAAATAAATAAGTTATCTAATTCGTTTCTTGTTTGAAACCGTTAAAAGTGTTTTATTTAAGCATTAATGATGATAACAGACACCAAAGTTGTTAGTACAGTTAAAAAATGCCTCGTTTGTTTGTAAACCACAATATATTTACTTTTTGTAAAAGTAACGATGATAAAAATATTAAAAACAAATTTTCCTTTAGTTATGGACATCATCGAAGTGGAGCTTAAAAGACGAGTACAAGCTTTTGTCGGAGTTGGGCGGAAGCACTGGCTACTATGGCGAGTTGTTTGAGGCGCCCTATGAGCATGCAGCACATCCGCACTATGCGCCACATTCTGGTAAGTGATAAGAAATTAATAACAAAGTCTTTGAATACTATCCAGCAGCGGTGGTCTTGCGAGGACTGAAAATGTAGGATGCCAAAGTCAAATCTGCTAGGAAATGTCGAGCCGCAGTTCAAATAAAATACAAATAAGTAAATTAACATGTTACGCGTCTCAAGTCGTTTAAAAAATCTTGATACAGATTTAAATACAACCAGTATTGTTACATAAAATTAAAAAAGTCCCGTAAAAATATCTTAAGTTATACTTAAATAACCATTTTGTTAAAAATAAAAACTGTAGTAAATGATATATTTTGCACAGTACGAAAGAATACTAGTGTTCAATTTCTCAAACGAAATTTTATTAGTTATAATATAATTTATAAGTTGACATCTCTATAGCTAAATGGTGGACCGCATTGCTTGGCATTGCGTTAAGCGCAAGGTTCAAATCCCGGGAAAAGAATCTATTGTTTCGTTTGAAACGGCCACAGAAATGTGTTCGCCTTATGCCCTACGAGGGGAAGCAGTATGAGATTATGCATTCCTATTAAACGAGTAGCTATAAGCTTTGATTGCAAAGACAATAGAGCTCGGCTCGTGACACAAGCACCATTTCACTAACGTACCAATTTTTACAACTACCGTCATTAAACTATTATTAGTCACGCCCTGAAAATTGCTGTGGTGACACCGGGCCTCCGTCTCATAGATAGCTATGATATCAAATGCTATTAAATTCTATGTTTAATCGTGCTCTCACTTTTTTTTTATAGTTAAAGTAGAATTCGGAAATGTATGGCCTAGGTAGGGCATGGTTTATATATATCTGTAATTCCACTGTAATTTTTTAAACTGTAACTACTTTAAATTATATCACTTTTTAAAAAACCTCCAACGTCTTACGCTTAATGGTGTTTTGAGAAGCGCGTTGGTCTAATGGTAGCTTAGCTTAGCTTTTTATGTAAACAGGTCTATATCCTAGGCAATATAGCACATAACTGTTCCTAGATTCCCTCGGTTGCGGTTGAATTGTTGACATTCAACTCCAGAGGTCGCGGATTCAATGCCGTTTTGAGCACTTCCTTATTATTGTTTTTACTTTAGCCTAAATACGTTCATTATAATGTTATTTAGCTAGGTGTAGCCGGACTTCATTCAATAGCTAGAAAAAATAAAAGAGTTAGAACTATGTCAGACATAAGATATACTGTATTTTAATCATTGTAAGATACAAACTGTACATATAAACTTTTACATAATATATAAATACAGTTTAATAGAAAAAACTAGTCAAGCTTTTTACATAAGAAGACTAAGTAAACATAACTATAAATTTATTAAAATACTGTCTTTTACTTACGCGAGTAGTAAACATTTAAATAAAACACTTTTAACGGTTTAAAAATCGAAGTGAATTTGTAAAACTTAACAAATCTTTCTCGGCGTTTCGGATGCTTTGCAACAGCCATGGTCAAGAGGAGACGTCGGCCCGTAGTTTCAATGATGTGTAAAGTTTAACTTATTCACTTCTTGTTTCAAACCGTTAAAAGTGTTTTATATTAATAAATGTATTCTCTATATACAAATAATCGAAGCTTCATTAATTGTCGTCAAACTATCGTCCACCGATGTAAACAAATTGTTATGATTGGAAAAAGTATTATAGTTTTAGAAAAAAAAAGTTTTTATTTTTTAGTTTAATGCTAATAAGTAAGCAGCCGAAAATAATATTTTTCTCACAATTGTGAAATTAATTTTAACAGCTAATAAATGTACAATTAAACAAAATGCAAAGAATTCTTAAAGCACAGATAACAAATACGAAAAACAACATACACATAATAGATTTGAGAGGTTAATGGATGTGAATATCACCCCTAGAAGAGATTCCCATAGAACGAGTTCTAATGAAACCAATCCGAGACTGCGGTTATAGCTATCAAATGTTTATTCCACTTGTTTTAAACCACGTGGGAAAATAAGATGTCAAAAGCTTCTTTCACAGCACCTATAAGCATGGGCTAACCTTCGTGAAAAGTGGCCATATAACATCTAACATGACGCGCTGTTGAGCCATTTTATTTACCGCAGATAGATCAAGCTTGATTTTTATAGCGACAAAAAAGCTATAAATGAACTAACGTACCATACATTTTCATGTAATTATTAATTTATTTTAAAACACTCTTGTGTCGTCTGTAGTTTACGCAAGTACACATTTAAATAAAACATCTATTAACGATTTAAAATGCAATAGCTACCGTATTTGACTAACGAAATACATTTTATTGAATTCGACTAACTTCTGCTGGTATATTTTTATCTCTAGAAAAACTGTTCCTTAATTGCCTACCTAAGTAGAACCGCACTTGTTTTTTTCTAAAAATGTGTGATTATTATGGATTATTACACTTGACGAGAAGAAAGTCAAAATAGGTCTTAAGAATTTGTATCCAATACAATCCCAGTAAAAAAAAAAACTTGTTTACTCTATTGTCTATTATTTCAGTCGTATCCTAAACGTCCTCTAGATAGATAACTGAAAAAGTTTTCAGCTAAATGAAATGGCTAAAATAAAACAGTTTAGTGCACCGTTCAGCCTAAATCGTTTGCAATTTATATCTCAATCAACGGGGACTCGAACTGATGTATCGCCCACCTGCCGATCAGCTATTCCAATTAACGCGTTTTAAATGCAATGTCGTTTTTTAAATTTTCCAATAGTGTTTTGATAGTATCGTTGGTGTTAGAGAGAGAGGGGGTAGTAGAGTCGTGTGTTCGATTCCCACCGTGACCAATATTTATAATTATTTCTGAAACATGTTGGACTTTGTCTGGAGATTTGAATAAATGGGTGGTAGGAATATAAAAGTTCCATACAGGTCACGAACTACCGTCATAGATGAAAAAGCTGTGTAGTTTAAATAAGTCGATAGCACATCTCTGAAAACTTAAGTATTATTCAAATGTTATTTGACTTTTACTCACATTAAAAATCTATATAGAATTAACAAATTCCGAGATGAACATTAAAACACAGATAATAACATTTATATAAAACACTTTTAACAGATTAAACGCGAAATGTATTACTAAAACTTATTTTCACTACGACCCGACGTTGCCGAGAAACGGTGTTTTAAACTGTGAGAAGTGTTTTAATTAGATTTTACTATTCGCGTAAACTACAGAGAGTATATTAATTTATATACTAAATAAGTATTTGCGATAAAGACGAAATCCTGTAACCAACAGTTCATTTCTAGTTGTCTATAATTAACTTCGCGAAATAGAGCTTCCGTTGAAAAAGGTTTATCTGGCATTTAAATGTCATCTGTGCATAAATTTTTATGCTTATTAAAACGGTATGAGTTTTATGTCTAATATCAACTTTCAAACTTAATTTTGTAATCACCACATAATCTATATAAATATTACGAAGCCGAAGAGTTTGTATTTTGCCTGAACACGCTAATCTTAGGAACTACAGCTTCCAATGGAAAAAAAATTGTGTTCGTTAGAGCATTTATTAAGATAGGCTCTAGACTGTAAAACATCACGTTGTTAATAGGGGTGAAAAGACTGAGGGAATTGTAGAATAAAAGGGGAATATACATCTTTGAGGGTTTTCGTTGCGTTCGCTGCGAAAACGGTTTAAGATAGCCGAAAAATATGTATGAAACATTTATTTTTCTTTAGATTACCTAAATTAATCTTCCAGACAGTACATGTCTCAAAAATCGCACAAATTAAAACTCAATTATGAATTTTTTAAAATGACGACTCGGGCAGGACTTGAACGGGAACGCTGTGGATGCGGTGTCAAGTCAAGGCCGAGTCGTAATTTTTGTCAATTTTTAATGTATTTTAATTGAAGTATATAGTGGCATCATGTGATAAATATTAAAATTAAAAAAAAATACTACAGTTGAACGAAACAAACACTTTTATGCAAACACAGCAATCTAAAAAATCACAACTGTAGCGAAAGATAATAGCCTCGTAACTCGCGGATCGCGGGTTCATATGTTGTTTTTTTGCACATTCGTAATAGTTATAAATCTATCACGCGTGATATATTGCTTCCCGATCACGTTGAAATATGTATGATTATGATCGTAAATTATTATTGTGGGCGGAGTTTTGTTTTCTGTGTGAAGGGGTTTGTGCACAAATAATGACCCAATGGTTCAACGGACATTGCATAGATGCTTTTAAAAATTATATTATACAGAAAGAAAGAATAGACTCAGTATTTTCTGTAGTTCATAAGCCTAATAACTAAAATTGTATCTGTTCAAACGCATATGTAATAGTTAACTTTTTACAATGAATTTTAACTACGTCCCTCCTCATGGAGGTGTGGTCATCCACGGCTGCTGCAAAGCATCCGAAAACCCGGACCTTATTTAAAATAAGTTAATACGTTTCACGTTTTAAAGTGTTAAAATTGGTTTATTTAAAGAATATCCCATATTGTTGCTAGCTTAAATGTGTGTGTGACAGATCAATTTGTTATTTTAACTTTATAGTGTGTTGCACTAATTGACAGATATATAAATATATAATCTTTCCCTTTCTCCGTATTTGAAATTTACTTTGACATATATTTATCACTGCCTTATGGAGGAAATCATGTTTGGTAAACATGGTATTTTCTACAGCAGCCACGAACGACTCAACAGGGTCTACAGCGGGCGCTGGCGAGCCACCCTCGGCAGCTGGCAGTCCTGATGCAGCCGCCCTCGTCGTCTTACAGCCGCCGGCGCCGCCCTACCCGCCCTACGCACATTACGATGGTAAGTTACTTTAAAATTTCGTTTACAATACTGCGTCTATAGAAATTAGCTCTGTAGTTTGATATATCTCGTGAGAAATGAAATGTTTGTCTCTAAATAAAAATAAATCTTCGATTGAATTTTTTTTTGAATAAAATAAAGTTATAATGGAACAGTAAAAAAGAATTATAATTCCTTATTACATGAGTACCTTATGGACCCTATATTACTTGCTATATCACAAGAAATAATACTTGGAAATCATAAGTATTTTGTATTAGATAGACGCTTACCAAGGAAGGCATATAATATAACGCTGCGACCAATAGAAGCAAAGAAGCGATAGAAAATGTGGAAACACGGGGAACAGTATTCAGAAATCCTTATGATGTAAAAAACTCTACGACAATATATGTATGTCTATTTCTTAAAATTAACTTGCAACAACTACGAACGACTGTTTAAATAAATAATATGATGCCCGAAAGTCTAACTAAGATGAGTACCTACCTTCTGCATGGACCCAATACACAAAAAATAATACTTCAAAAGCAATATTCAATATTTGTAAAGTACACATAGCATTCGCGCCAGGACCCCACCCCCACCAAACTACAAAGACCGCAGGATAATCCTATCATCGCACATCAATTAATCCACCACGCCCCGTATCCAAAATATAATATTTATACCCGTTTCAAGTCCCAAAATGTCCCGGTTCGTTACTCGCGCAGACAAAGCCGTATGATTTTCCCCTTGAAAATTATTTGCATAGCCCCGAATGAGCTATTAAACACCCGCCCCCACCCGTAAGCAGATTGCGGTACGCCAAAAGCTTCGGTCAGCAAACGAAAGTCGACCTTGTCTAAAGGGAATAAGGTCGTTTTCACAGTGCCTGCTACATCAAAGGGTGGGGGCAGGAAAATTGGATTTTCTCAGAGTGCTTGAGTAGTGCTCGAGTCTGAAGCCACTTTTTCTGATTTCTGTTGTCGCTCTTAATTCTTTCATTGTTTTTGTGAATCGTAAATGACGTCAAGTGATACTTGGCGTTTTTTTTTTCCGCTTCTGTTTACTTACTTCTGTGGACTTTGTTTCTTATTTTTGAATAAATTAATTAGCTACGTCTGTCGATATTTTTGTCAGTTCGCGTTGGTCACAATGTCGTTTTAAAAATTGGAAAAGTGATTTTTAGACACAAGTGTTATTATTGTTTTTGTTTTCCATTTTAGACACATTTTCGTTATAACTATACGTAGTAATATGTCTGTTAGACTGTAACTTTTACAATATATATTAATCGATTGCAACCTAATGATAATTTGAAAACTTTAATTAATATATTTCAAATGTTATTGCAGATTATATAAATTAAAAATGGATTTTAGATTTCAAAAAAAGACAAAGACCAAGACTTGAACCGCTATCCTGTCCCTATCGTATTTTTTTAAAATGTAAAATCGATTTTTAATCTATCGATTATATTTTATTTCAGGTACAGCAACACTAGCCAGCGAGTATGCGTACGCCGCGCCCTATACACAATATTCTCCATATGGAGGGCCCTACTCGCATTCTGCAGCCACGGGTCTACTCTCCAAGTGGTAAGTGTATTCTATATTCTGTCATTCATCTTAGATCCAAAAATTTGTATTAACATTATAAAACACTTTTAAAGGTTTAAAACGCGAAATGTTTTGCATGCACCGTGCAGCAGCTTTGTCCCTTTGTCACAGTTGCTGCATATGATCCGAAACGTCGGGCCGTAGTTAGTTTAATTCTAAATAAGTTAGCTAGTACATTTCGTGTTTGACAGCGTTAAAGTTTACAGTGTTTTATTTAAACATATATTATTGGGTAAACTACAGACAATACATATCTGTGTGTGAAATCCCGTGTCCCCCCTCGTGGGACGTGGGGCAAACACATCTTTGTGTTCGTTTCACTGATCCGTTCTTTTTATCAGGCAAGTAGTTGATCTGACTTCTGTGCCTTACCCCACCCGAAACAAATATTTTTTATTCCTCTGAGATTCGAACCCAGGACCTCTAGCGCATAACGCAATGCTAGGCAATACGTTTAACCATTTGGCTACAGAAGCGGACGCATATCTAATAGCATGTTTTTTTTTTCTTAAGTCAAGAAAAAAGTGAAATAAGTCTCAAAGGAAAACATCCGTAACGTCGGGCAGTATTTAAAATTATTTTTCAAATATATATATCTCATTGTAAACCGTTAAAATGTTTTATTTATTTAAAGTTTATATAAATGTAATTCTTATACCATTACCGAAGCTAAACTATGATTTACTTTTGACTCGAGTATCTTACATTGTATGATGTAATTACAAGCTATTAAAATACACAAGACATTTCCACGTAGACAGAACTGCGCTAGATTAGATCTTAATCGTCTAATTAACTCGCGGCTAACCAACGGGCTTCTCCAAAATGCTGAACCATTTAACACTTGTTACAAATGAGGGTAGGTGCGAAATAAATCTGGCCATTTTATCACGAGCGCTTGCCAGGTGATAGAGGTGTGCTCCAGGGATGTATGTTCGCGCCCGCGGTTTTCCTGCTCGTTAAGAGTGGTTATTTATAGATAGATTCGTTTTTTTTTCAGTTAGATATAGCAATTCACTGTTGTAAACTTGTTAGAATGTAGTCTGTAGTTTAGGTGGAGCTAGCGTAACAGTTATCGTAGTTACTTTAGGGACGCCCTTAAGCTTTAGACCTACCAGTGGGCTAAGCTATATTTTATATATTTTAAATAATAAGTAACTAAATATATTTTGCGTTATAAGTGTGTTCTTTTTTAATTTGTTCGCATTTTTAATGTGTTCTTGAAATCTATACCAGAGAGAAAGAGTGGGTATATACTTATTATGTGTTTTAACATAAAAGTAATTATTAAAAACTACCTTCAATTTTAAGTAATGTCTATAGTTTACACGAGTAAGTAGTACACATTTAAATAAAACACTATTAATGATTCAACGCAAAGCATATTTCTTAATTACTTATATTTTTTTTAACTACGCTTGCATGCTTGCTTGCGATGCTTTTGCAATGCTTTTGCAGTATTTGTGGTTCCCCCGTGACCTTAATTTTTTTTTAAATACCTCCAATATTTTCAAAATTAAAATACAACTCTGTAGCTAAACGCGAAAGGCCCTGAGTTCAAATCCCGTGGAAACAACAGATAGTTTCTGACGGGCAGGGCATAGAAGTCTGTTTAACTACTTGTTTGCAAATAACCGTCTATAAAATGGACACTGAAATGTGTTCGCCCCATGCCTCACGGGGAGGCAACGGGATTTTACACAATTTTGTTTAAAAATACAGCGATACTTACATAAACGAAAAAGTGCAATCCGCGGCCAACAAAGCAAAAAAACAATTCATTCGCACATTTGTCGATCCATCCCTTATCCGTCCCGGGGGCACTAACAAAGGGCTAAGTCCCCGGAGATTGGTAACTTATAGCGTTCGATTTAAGTGATTCTATCGCTTTTAAAGTTGAAACTTAGGGTCTTATCCGCTTGAAAGAGAATTTATTTGTTCGACCCGTGAATTATTAGATGGGCTTTTTTAAAAGTTTGACTGGTTAGTAACTTAATATTTTATTAGAAATTTAAATGCTATAATACTGACACGGTAGCCCAATTGGTTAGAGCAATACGGAATTAACACAATCCACAATTATATTAGTTAAATGATTAGTACTACAACCTCTCCCGGTGACCATCGCTGCTGCAGAGCATCAGAAACGTCGGGCCGTAGTAAAAAAATTAAATTAAATATTTCGCGTTAAACCGTTAAAGTGTTGTATTTAAATATATTACTAAAAGGTGTTATTGAGGCTTTAAAAACTAAGTGTAAAAAAGAATTGAATCAGATTATTTTAAAGAACATTTAAAAAGGGGTCATAAATGTGTCATATTTGTTTTCAATCTCATATCCAATTTTTAATGAGAGACAGACAATCATATGGTTCACTTAATTGATTGTGAAATAACTCAGCCAGCAGTGACAAGATGATAATATATCCACCTATTTTATTTTTAGATATTTGGATAAAAGATTATTTCGATAGATATTATCCACAGACTGATCAAATCATTTTTATCTGTGGTTAGTGGCCTAAATGTTATGTCAATGGTTAATTTATTTATAGTGTATATCATTGTTTTTTTTCAGATGTCAACGGACGCCGTGTGAGCAGTAGCTGACGGCGAACCACAACGAATCAAAGTGATATGGACACTAAATGTAATGTTAACGTGAGAATTTTAGTTAAAAACCCTTACCCATTCCTTTAGAACTCATTTATATAGACAAATAATGTGTACAATGCGATTATTTTTATTAATGTGTTAATTTTATTGAAGCGGCACAGCGTGAAATGGAACAGTGCGGATTTAAAAACGTCTAGACTAGAGTAACACAGATCACTAAAACCCGTTACTATAGTTGGGAGAGGAGAAGTTTGGAGTCGGTAGACCACGGAATGTCGTCGGGCATTTTGAGACTGACTTACACTACATAGTATAAAGCAAAGCCGCTTTTTCTGTCCCTATGTGCGCTTAAATCTTTAAAACTACGCAACAGATTTTGATAGATTGACTCAAGAGGAAGGTCTTTATATATAACGTACGTTTACAGTTTTCCTGTTGTATATCTAGTATCAGCATTGCACCTGAGCGAAGCCGGATTAATAAAGTTAAAATATATTTTAGCGACCACATATCATCTGCAAAATTATAATGACTCAATAATATATATTAAAAGAATTCGAATACATTCAATTTAACTATGGGCGTTTTTAAAATCCCGACTGTTCATTTTACTACTGTGCTATTTTGTATTGCTTTCTCAGTGTTTATAGATTTAACATTTATACTCATTATTTTAGTTAAATTCCATGCACGAGAGAGCCAAATTTATATTGCAAATGTAAATAAATGAAAAGTAAATGAAAATTCATTTAATACTGTAATGTAATCATTTACCTCAATGTCTTCAGAGCTGTCTAGCACAAGTATCGTTACTGTTAAGTTAACTTATTTTTATAATTGTTGTATATTAAGTACTCCTACAGTGTTGTTTTTTATTGTCTTGAAGATTTTTAGCGATCATTTTTAGAAGAACTGAAAGTGATTACGATAAAAAAATTCAGTTTGTTAGCTGAAAAAATACAAAATACCTAATAATTTCTATCAATAAAAAATAACGCTAAAATAAACAAATTAATATATTCTCAGTCAGATGTAACTATGTAGATTTCTCTTGAAATTACAATGAGATTAAATGTTTCCTTTTTTTATTTTATTTTTTTAAACATTATCGTAGCTTCTAGTGTTCAATTGTTTTAATGAACATATTTATTTTATTGTTTCGTCCGTCCATTTATGTTTTCCAATTCTTGTAAATATTGAATGTATTGTTTACAAATCATAATTTAGCCACATTTATAATAATACTATATTTTACTTATTTCTTTGTTTTTATAAAAATCTTTTCGTAAAGAGGAAAAATTGGAAAGAGAATCAGTGGCTAAATCAGTATCGGCAACAGAAACTTGCCAATCTAAGCATCTTTTAATAGTGATAACATTTTAATTGTAAACTGTATATATACCATTGTTTCCAAAACTAAAGCATACAGTGTAGAGGTACACCAAAGACTTCGTCTTTTGCAGAACAGTTTTATTTGTGTAAAGCAATTATTTATTGCCAAAGAGATATTGTGAGGGAGTTTCTTGGGTAATAATCTTCTTTAAAAAAAAGTAGTTTATGTTTTTTATCAAGCTTTCGCGCCACTATGAAAAGCTACATGGCATTTCAAACTTTTCATCTGTCAGAAATGGTCTTGACATATGGCCATCATCAGTGGTTGATTGTGATCATAAGATACACAGATAGATAGACAGTACACATTTAAATAAATCACTTTTAACGGTTCTAAACGCAAAATATATTAATCTGATTTACAATTTATTTTAACTACGGCTCGACCTTTTAGATGTCAGCAAACGTGATCACGAGGTGACAGTTTAAGTGATTTCGCGTTTTAAACAGTTAAAAGTGTTTTATTTAAATTATCATGAGATGTTAGTCGTACTCCGACTTCCGAAGACAAGTGAACATTTGGAACACACGCGACGCGAGTGTTCCAAATATATCTTGACCCTTGGCCTTACTTTTTACCCGAGAAACAAGAGTATATGTATAATGTAACTCATTTTTCAAACAAAGTTGTTTCCTATTTATTTTATGTATAACGTTGCTTTCTATAAGCATATCGTTTTAGTGATCACTTATTAGTACTTAAAGTAATAGTTTTGTTTAATTTGTACTAAGTATATTTGTAAGGCAAACGCACCAGTACGAAATAAATGCATATGAGTTTATATAATTCTCTGTTTCATTTTAGAAACTCCTGCGCTTCGCAGAAAAACTGGAAATTAAAAAAACTATAACTGAGTTTTCTCTAGTTGCAAAGAATCCTTTTTTAATGGAGTTTTCAATATGTCAAGATGACAATGTAAACATTCCCGTTTAAAGTGAAAACTAAAAAATAAAAATATGATGTAAATAAATAAAAGCCCTTATGAACAGTACAATGAAAAGTGTAATAATGCCTACACCGTTCATTCTTATCTAATTTATATATAAAACACAAATCTGGCTCCTCCATCCCCATCATCATCAAAGAACCCTGAAAAGTCAACAAAAACCAAATGTCGTAAACATGATGACAAGGAACCAGACGTAAAAGAGTCGCATAGTTCATGTCAAGAAGTTAAATCTCTGTTAACACAACACTACAGTGTTTGCAAAGAATATTTGTGCAAAGGCATACATTCGCTGTCCAAAAACTTATCAAGTGAAGTTGGGAATAAAGAAACGACAAATAGCAGTCCCATCAAAGATGATGCAGTCCGTATCAAATCATGTGTTACTGTCAGTAAGAAAGAAAGTATGAAATCAGATAATGGAAGCATTAAAACTCCTGTTTCAGCGTGTGTAAGCGCTAGTGAAGTACCAAAAGAATCGACTTGTCCTGACCCACCGTTAGAAAAGAACAGCAGCTGTTGCTGTTGTAATACTAATCCGCCGTGCATCGAAAGACCGAAATGCCCACCTCCGTTGACAGCGTGCCAAAAAAAGCCAGATATTTGTGATAAGACTATGAAAAAAGCTAACGAATGCAAATTGAAAGTTTGCGTAACCAAGTGTGTCAGAGATAACGTCAAGAAAATTAAGAAAGACCAAAGCCACTGTGAAACCGTTATTGGAGTAATTCCGTCGAACAACCCAAAAGATAAAACCATATTTTATCCATTACAGAGACTTAAAGAGAGGGGTGCTATAGTCTGCGAGCAGAAGAAAAGCAGCGTTCAGGATTTTGTTGAGAAGAAGTCAGAATCCATAACGGGAATGACTAACAATATAGGTAGTTTTCTCTGTAGGGCCTACAATAAGACAAGAGAGGTAATCGGGATGCCGGCTACAAGTAGTTGTGGAAACCAAAGTAAAACTGAGGATATCGAAACGAGTGACAAATCATGCGGTGGTCGATCCCCTAAAAAGAAATGTTCAGTGAAAAAATGTACATACGAAAATGACAGTGAACATGAAGTTGGTATTGATATAAAAAAGTTGAGTTCACATAGGGTTTACGAGTTTCAACACCCGGTGGAGATAGCTTACGACAAAATTCGTGATACGGTCAAAACTTCACTTTCTTCTATGAATGAAAGAAGTTATTTCGAAAATTTGGTGGATATTGTGACGTTACCAAGACCTGAGGAGAGCTCTCCATACGACGTGCCCACCGACCCACCTACACCTCCTCAGGAAACTATCCTCCCTCCGCCCACACCTCCAAGAAAAGAAACGCATCAAAGCGATATTACACCAGTGCACAGCGGCGTCATTTCATCCGTGAAAAATAAAATATGTTCCATATTTCGTAGGAAGAAATCAGCAAATAGCCTCCCATCTGAAGAATCTGAGGAAGAAGTAGATGATAATAATTGCGAATATTAATACTATTTTATTATGCTATAATTACAGTTTAAAATTAACTTGTATTGTTAAAAACCCTTATATTCATACCTGATTTTATTTATTAGACATCTCCCTGATAAAAGGAATACAACCTTACTGAACCAGTGATAATAGACATGGTAATTGAATATTTCAAAAATAGAAAAATACTAAACTTCGATCTGACAGCAGAAAATTGTCAATAAGTCAGTGTTACTACGAAAATCTAAAATGAAGCCAAAATTCACATTAAAATGAAAACTAAAAAATGTACAGTAGAGCCGACTCCTGAGCCACCTCCGCCAGATCCATGTAAGTTGCAGCGTATTAGGCAAAAAGAAAAGGCAGGAATCAAAATATGCCCTCCCAAACCGATTGAACCGCCAGAACCTATCGCTCCTTGCCTCGCAATCTGTATAGAGAAAATAAAAAATCCACCATACACCACTTCTCCTAGCCAGGCCATTGTTTGTGTTGTAGAAAGAGAAAAGACTGGAACCTCTCGATGTGACGCGATAGAAGCTTTAACAGCTGCCGGTCGAGATCTACCTCACCCTTGTCAAAAACAACCTCAGCCCCCTCCACCACCACCACCTCCAGAACCAAGCCCCTGTGAAGTACAGAAGAAACAACAAAAACTAGCCGCGTGCAAGGAGAAATACAAACGGTACTACGAGTAAAATGGACGATGTCCTCAAAAACACAGCGAAACTCTGCAACGTCGACTCTCTGATTGATAGATTCAGTCGAGAGCTTACCATAGATACTGATGAAACGAGAACATTGACGATTGAGTCACCAGAAAGATCAGAAGTCCCAGAGTCTATGACCGATATTGATAGTAAAATATTTTACCTGGAAAATTTAATAAAGCGACTACAAGGCGAAATTGATGATATGTATAATAATGCAGATGATACGATTAAAACAACATTATCAATCAACTCTGTTACTGTTGAAAACTTAGATGCCCAGCACACCAAAGGCACCAGTCAAGTTTATCCTTTAATTTTAACTGACGTAGATCCACCGTTAGCTGAAAAATCGGAGACTTTTAAAAATGAAAAGGCTGAATTGATTAATTGTGGCAGATCACAATCCATGGATTCGTTATCTTCAATTGGGAAAAACTTTGCTCTTCTCTGGAATTTTGAGGACGTAGCGAGGGCGGATAACGCGATGTCTAGCAGAGATGGCGATAACACTATACCAGGAAAACTGTGATAAAAATGTTGAAATAATTTCATATGTTTATTTATGGTTAACAATTACAATATATTTCATACAAAATTTAATACAACACTCGATAAATATACGTAAGCACGTTTCACGAATACTTTAAAATATTTTCATCATAGATATATCGTAAAATGGAAATTATTCAATAACAATCTTCAAGTAATAAAGATAACATGTCTTAAAAGCCACTTTATCATTAATAAGAATTATTTGGCACTTACCTATTTTAAAAGTTACAATCAAATATATAGAATATTCCTCATATAAATAAGGCACGTTGCCGTTGCTTGTTATAGATGTACTATAACAGATTTAAAAATGATTTTGGTAATAAAGTAAACAGCCCAATAAAATAAGTGAAAATATTTTCTTTCAAGAACATCGGCTTTAGAAGCGTAAGGCGCTCGCATTCGCCGTTCGCGTCGCTAGTCGCCGCTATGTACTTGTATATTGTTTTAGTCGCTAAGAATTAAATTAAGTTGTTAAGAATGAACAACAGAACGAAGTAGAAGAATGTGTATTATATTTCTAAGTAAATATACTTAGAAGTATAATACACATATTTAGCGTGAAAAACGTTTTACCAAAGACGATCGATATATATATTCTAGTCGATTATAAATAATAAAAATGATTATAAATAATCGAACAATACGATTAACACATTAGTATATAATGTTTAATATTAGAATTAAGAACATACCCAAAGCCGATTAAAATAAATCTTTCATTCTAACCACTATACTTCGATACAAGTAAATAACGCTCAAAATTTAAACCTAGGTATATACAAAAATAGCAAATTCTCCAGCAATTCAAAATCTCCGAAGCTTCAGCGAAACGCTAAGCTCAAAAGCCCAAAAGGCACAAACCCGGGTGGTTGTCAACCGCCACGGGCGACAATTAAACCGAAAGTATTTCATAATCCACTATTTCATTCTGGGGGGTTGCTGCATTGGTGGTTGATGGAAGGGATGGTACTGCCGAGACAGTAAGTTTTCCTGAAAATGTTTATTATATACTAGTTTTTCTAAAAAATATTTTATCAGAATAAATAGTGTTATTTGACAACTTACCATTCCATTGCTAGGATTTTGTTCCATCGCGTAACGCTCTTGCAAAATAATTTGATTAGCAGCGCTGAAAATGATTATAATGCATATATATTAGAAGTGAAATTCCGTTTGTACAATGTACAATGATTTTTAAGCAATTAGCTTCTGTACCCTATCCGACCGGAACAATTTTGTAATCCTTAGATTCGAATCCAGGACATCTCATGCTTGATATAAAACTAGGGAACTCATTTAACCATTAAGGCTAATTTACTTATAATTACAAAATTATATATATAATATAAAGTTCCTCAAATTCAAATGGATAAAAAATTAACTGTAAACTAAACTAACTAACTAATAAAAAAAAGGACTTCCTGCCTGAACTAACAAAATTCAAATTTTTATCAAGTAACACATTTCTATGGACATTGATTATATTTGGCAAATAGTTGATTAGATCTCTGACATTAATTAGATTAATTTAAACCCAAGATCTTTCGTTAGGCGTCTAAGAATTGAGCTATAATCTTAAAAAGAAAGACAATAATCTCACGTGTCCATTTCTTCTTGTGTGAGTTCGAGTGCCTCCTGCATCTCTCGAGAGGTACTCTGAAGGAAGTCCGCGTCACAATATTTGCCCAAGCCTTGATCCGTCAACACCTGAACAAGAGCTAACACATAGTACAGGTCGCTAAAACTAGGTGGCGCTTCTCATTTTTGTTATAACGCCATCTAGCGGAACTATTAGAAAGTTTTGAAGCTTACCCGAGCAATGAGACTCTCCGCAGGTTTCTCCACACAATAAGGCACGTTGTTCGCTCTCCTCGTCGTATTGTCACGATCTAGAGAATTGTTTATTACAATTATTCTGTAAACATCATAATATTACATGCCAAGAACGATACCCAAATCTCAAAATTCCTTAAAACAATGTTAGTTGCACGTACTATTAAAACTACACAAAGGAATAAAACGGAAACCTAAAAACATTTTTTCTCGACCGACGTTTCATCTGTTTCCTCGTGAAACTATCATGCAAGGCTGTAAAGCATCCGAAACATTTTGTTGTACTGTGATAGTTCGCATTAATTACAGTTTTAAAATTGAAAAAAATTAAACATAGATTTTAGATTGATTTTACGACACGGGCAGGGCTTGAACCGATATTTACAGTGTTCTGTGCTTTTGCTCTAACCAATTCAACTACCGTGTCCTCCACGTCATCGTCGAATTTTTTTAACCTTCGTACATGCAACTCTCGCGCAACGTGAACATAATTCAATCTAAAATCGATTTATGTTTACATAATGTGCAATAACATGTTCAAAAAGGCTCAAATTGTTTTATTTTATGTATAATTTTAGTCGTCAATAATTGCATTTTACTATAACATGCACAAACACAGCAAATACACAACCACAACACACTAAAACGTCTGCGTAACCGACTTACTGCTTCTCATACTCGTCATTAAATCGTTCGATGTTTTTCTGTAAACATTTTTACAAGTATTCACAAGAGTTCCTAGAGCTATGTTTTGAAGTTGAGAAAAGATACTAATGACTCATTGATTATAATTTATACAGAGATTAAATTTTTTTTTTACTTAAAGATTTAAAAATTGCACTAACACGAACGGTACTTAAATCCACTACCGCGTCGTGTGTTACGTAAGGTGAATTTGTAAAATCAGTAGTTAATCTTTTAAGTTAAGTTATCGAACACTTTAGTCTTGTTTCCATTCTGCCTAGAAAAATTATTGTGACTTTGCCAGGCTGTATTATAAATTTCTTTCCTAACTAAGCATTGTCTTTACACATAAAAAATTTAATTGATGTTTAAAATGCCTAATATTTCATCGCCCGTGGCGATTTTTTGAAGCAGACCTGATCCCTTATAATAAAGTCGAATCGGCCACGCTAGCGCTATCTATGCCGTCGTAGTTAATATTTGGAGAAATAGGCTGGGTCTTTACAGAACTGACTCGCGATGAGAGGTCACCGTATATATATGGTGTCCTCTCATCGCGATATATATGGTGTAGTGGTATTAATAATATATTTCTCGTTATAATCCGTTAGAAGTAATCCCTCACTTTTTTCTCTAAATACGAGTATTAAGAATCGCAGCAAATTATTTTTAATGTGCCGTGATTTGAGACGACACGACATCGAGTCTACTTAAATAAATTCCATTAAGAAACTAGCACATATTGTATATAAATATTTATATCTCTTTCATTTTAAATATATTAAAGCGAGAAGCAAATAATTACAACATCGTCCACATTATGGGACTTACTCGATAACTCTGAAAATCCTCTCGGAGTCCTTTCCATGTAGGAGTGGCTGCATTGCAATCTCTTCTTCGCCATCGCTTTGGTCATCATTATATTTGCTAATGGAAATGAAAAAGTACCCATGAACAAGCATACAAGTAACATAGGTACACAACATATGATAAAATAACATAACTAAGAAACAAACATAAAAAAGGGCGTAGAATGTTAGAAATAAATGTATACTAATATAATAAAGCTGAAGAGTTGGTTTAAATTGAAAAATTAAAACCAGTTTTAAATTGGTTAGTGTTTTTATTGTGGAGCAACGAAACAGTGGAAAACGTGGAGAAAACGGGGAAAAATATTCATCTTCAAGGATTTCCGTTGCACGATTAGAACTTGACTACCCGGTGGGGATAGAACACTCCAGAGGGAGACTGAATTTTAGGTTACACTAAAAGATAGAATGCCCTAACATAACATATAGTTAAAGTGTCTAAAACATCTGAAAACTATTTACCCAGCGAGATTCGAATCCGCTCACCATTGAATTCTATACTTTTATTAAATTGTAATTATACCATAACTTACTTTTCTTCCTCCGGTATCTTTCCATCCATTCCGAGTTCCCTTTGCATCATCACTCCCAATGACATATTTTTATCTCCTATAAATGAAGAAATGCGAAAGATCAAGTAAGATATTATGTAATTAAAAAATATATTAGTCCTTAAAATACTTACCGTTCACTGATTTTGATTTGACCATTGTTTTGGGCGCTTTCCGGGGTCCATAGAAACTACCACGACCTTTCTTGATACTTGTCCAGACTTGTCCAAACAGAGTATGGTTTCTCTGAAAAGAGAAATAAGCAGTTGAATAAAAGGCTTTTTGGTCTAATGGTAGCCAAGGTATGGCTAATAACCAACGGGTCCAAAATGTTTTTAATCGAATATTTATAGTCTGAACCATGTTCGTCTAGAAATCTCAATGGGTGGTAATCCGAATTCCGTCCGGCACGCTTCCATAGTTGAAAAAGCCGTTAAGTTTAATCGCGTTTCAGTTTCAGCCTGAATGGATTTCCGAATAAACAAAACAAATTGGTCGACAGCGTATTGGGTTGTCCATTAATCATGTGATCTTTTTTTTTTGAATTTTTTAACCCCCCCCTCCCCATTGGTGAGACGTAGTGAGGTTTAAGACAACCCCCCTCCCCCTTCTAAACATCACGTGTATTTTTAGTACCTACAAAGAATCTTAAAATTTTCTGAATATTATCTTAATTTTAATACAGGTATAGACTATAATCTTATTTTATTCTGAAATTAAAGACCATAATAAAAATGTCTACACCATTTGTTTAAAAATCGCGCGTTTGACGAACGAAAAATTGAAATTGAAAACGAAAAAATAAATACACGCGATATCTTACTACACACCCCCCCCTTGTGTTATTTTCGTAATTTTTTACCACCCCCACCCCCTCCCGCTCAAGCCTCACGTGATTAATGGACGACCCCTATGTTGTTTAAATTTTATATGACTTCTGCTTTTCTTAGGCAGGGGCTTTAATCAAAGCCTTTCATCAAGTACATGCTTGACTGCCCTTCTCTATCATTTCAGAAGAAATATAAGCAGTTTGCAAGAAGAAGAAATTTACTAAATCCATATGTATTGAAAATACATAAATATAAAAATTACATTTAGATTTGTGTTTAACTTTAAAATGTAGCTACATATGGATGTTTCCAAAGTGGGCAAAAGTTATTTTTGAAATAATCAAAAAAACGTACCCTATGCATTGGCTCTACCACCTCTCCAACAATATCATCCAAGTTTCCAGATATAGCTCTTTTTAATTCAGGACCGGCTTCATGCAGCTTCCTTAATCCAGCTTGTAAGGTCTCTTGAGTATTCTTGACAGCGGCTTGCTCTTTACGTTTACGGAATCTACGAACCGAATATGCTTTTGTAATCAAATACATTAGGGCGATTTTTGTTCAAGCTTTAATCTTCAACGTAAGCATTTTCTTTGAAAAGCTAAATATTTGACTGACTGAGTATCAATGTATTTTAAATCATACTAAATTAAATGTATAACCACATAATTTCAAATTCCTAAAACATGTTTTCGAAACGTGTACACTTAAACCAAATCAATATTAAGCGAGCATATAAGTGGACCTCACATGCAAAAATTTTGAAATATCACACTTAATCCACTTTTGAAATTAATATTGAATTAGCGAAATAGTGCAAATTAAAAGCGAGCGATGGTTTGATCGATTACGCCAAAGAAAACATGCTTTAGGATAAAACAAGTTTCGATCATGCTATAAGATATAAAAATAAGAAGCCTGTGGGGTAAGCTTAAATAAAATGGAAATCAAGCAAAGATTATTTTAAAACTTTACAAAAAAGGGGAAAAGTCAATCCTTGGTCTTGGTTTTAAGTGGTCCGACACCAAGACTAAACAAGCTTAATTACAGCTAGGGTTGCTTAAAATTAGAAAGTTGACTTACGCATGGTTCCTATAAAATAGAACATTACCAATATTAGTATTATTTATTACGAATTTTTTATCATCTCAATATTATTTAAACAATCAATGACAGAATTGAATTTAGAAATTGTATAAGGATTTGATGACTGAAGAGTTACATCCGCAAGTATTAAAAAAAAAAAATTTAACGTCTATAGTAAACGCGATATATTAGTTAAACTTATTTGAAAATAATTTTTAACTTCGGCCCGATGTTTCGGATGCTTTGCAGCAGCGTGGTGGCGCGGTGTTTTATTTAAACATTTTAAAGGTTTAAAACGATATATATATACAACGATATATACATATGTATATATTTACGATACGATATATATATGTTTCGCCAAATACCAACTACGACGCTAGCGTAGCACGTTTTACTTTACCATCTTTAGTATCCCCGTGACTACGGCTACTGCAAAGCATCTTAAACGTCGGGCCATAGCTAAAATAACTTTCAAATAAGTTTAACTAATATATATCGGGTTTTGAACCGTTAGTGTTTTATTCAAATCTCAACTAGAAAAATAGCTTTAATCCCTTTGTTAAGTTAGGTATCTTGTCGTATATTACCTCCCTGTCACCGACTGTTTCAAATACATTTACTTTATTTAAAATCATTGACTACAGTGCTATATCTTTATCGACACCTCATGCTAGTGCTAATACATCGATTTTAACATCAAGCACATATTTTTTATTTGCGATAACTACTTTTGACCCCTCAAAGAGTCCATATTTTTTATGAAGTCCTCGTTGATTTTCAATACTTTTCTAATAACATACCGTCTAAAGTAATCTTGGATTAGGAAAGTGGCATAAAACTTTCCCACAGTTATCTCATTGGGATCGCCTGGGGGTGGAACTACTTGGTCTAATAGCTTCGGCGATGTCCGCTTCCATACCTTCTTTATTATAGCCCGTAACTCTGTGTTACATTGATCGATTACCCCTGTGAAGTGGAAATTTTGCATTGAAAAATAACACTTTGAACAATGAATACATATTTTTCCATCCTGAGGTAGTCTTGAAAGAAGAGTTTTTTGAAGACTTTCATATTTTTCACATGATGGCTATATGTAAATGTACGTAAAGGATGGAATCACATTGCGCAAGAGGTGTATGTGTCAATTGGGTGAAAAAAATTCAACGATGACGGGTAGGACTCGGTGGCTCAATTGGTTAGAGCACGGAACGCTAAGTTAGCCGGTTCAAATCCTGTCCGAGTCGTAGGTAATTATTTTCAATTTTTTATTTAGAAGATTTTTTACTATTTCAATATGTACAACTTTAAATATTAACTCAGAAGAAAAATTAAAGAGAGAACGTGACCTTTACTTAAATGTAAAATACCTGAAGTTTTAATTTGTAGCTGTGTTCTGACAACAGCAAAGAGAGTAGCATTAAAATTCACAGTTCCGTCCGAGTTGAGAGGCATATTCATGGATACAAGTCGTTTGCAGGCTGTTCGATGTGGACACAGTTTACCAAAGCCTGGAATTCGATAAAGCTATTATTAGTACGAAGCCATGTAACAACGCAGTTAACAGGGAAATTGTTTGCTCTATGCCCAGGCCGATCGAAACCATATTTTGTTTACCCATAAGCTCTCGCGCTGTTCTTAAAATTAGGTGTATTTAGCCACTAAGATACGAAGGCGGTAAAAACTGTTATATACAATTTAATATTAGTTTACCTAATGGAGGACTAATTTTTCTCAACAAGTTTACTACATCCAGATGTTTAATACGACCTTTCGCATCTGGATCGTACTCGCTCCAAAGTCTGTAAATAAAAGGAAAAAATGAATAGTAATAGAAAAAAAATTCCTTTAGTATACGAGTATATAAATTCGCTTTGAGTTTTTATAAGTTAGAATAAAAATTCACAGGTATTTATAAACGCAGTTAGATAGTAAGTACCTTACGAATTCGTCTAGATGATGAGGTCCTAAAATAGACCAATCTCTCGTAAGATAGTCAAAGTTATCCATGATAACGGCAACGAATAGATTTATAATCTGTAAATTTAATACCATCCGAATCAAACTTCAGCTACGCGTATGCTAAATAAAAAATCCTAGTAAAATGCGGATAAGACAATATTAAGACATAATATTAGCAAAAGAACAAAGCTCACCGAAGGTCCATAAAATTACCTTCGGTTGGTGGCTGACATAAAATGTTTATTCCAAAATCTGTAACTAAATAAAGGAACTTACCAAGAAAGTACATAATAAGGAGAACGAAATAAAGTAAGGAAAGGCAAAAGTAGTTCCACAGCTTGTTTCAGTAACAGTGGTATTATCCGGCTTATAACATCCAACTGGAACACCTGGATGCTCATCATCATTCGGTGATAGCGCCATCATTATATCCTGCCACGCTTCACCTGGAGACGGAAAGATTTACTTTAGATTTAAGCTCAATTTTGGTGAAACATATTGCATGTGACAAAGTGATATTAATTTCAACGTAGATTAAGATAAATGATTTAATATAAATACCTGTTGCTGATCTAAATAGAACCATTAGAGCGCTGCCAAATGTTTGAAAATTATTGTTCCTAGTTATGACTTCGTCGTCTAGATCTATTTTACCAAACAACTGCAAAAATTATTACAAGAGATCATTTATCAAGAATTTAAAGTAACATTAAATTACAACAATTACATATTATATATAAAAAAAAGGAATACTAAGTCAGCAAGTTTTTTACCCGTTATTCTTATCGGTTCTACGCCCTATATTAAAGAAGCGATAGTGAATGTAAATTCAGATCTTTTTTTATAGAATTTAAAAAAATACCTTCATGAAAATGATTCTTTATATTTTGTATCAAATCAAAGATTTTTTTCTTTTATGGCAGTGAAATCAGACAAGCACATACACTTCATAAAAGGTGAAATACTCTTTGCATATTCGAATATCCACAGATTAAAGCCGGGCGGAATTTTGATATCCTACCATCATTTAAAATCCAAATTTTCCATGTTAGACGAGGCGGTAATCAAATCCACGACCCGTTGCGTATGAGCTACCATTGGAACCATTGATCGAGCCAGTCGATTTACTTAAACTAAAACTATATGATTAACATGCAACGTATGGTTAAGTACCTGCATCCCAACAACAGCATAGATGAAAAACAAAAGCACAATTAATAACGCGACGTACGGCAGTGCCTGGAAAGACTTTATAAAAGTCCATAATAAAGTTCGTATTCGTTCTCCTCTCGATAAAAGTTTTATCAGTCGCATTGCTCGAAATAGACGGAAGAACGTAATATATTTGAGAAGAGTGGTGGAACCCTGGAATAATTGTCAGCATCTGTAGTTATCCAGAGTACATATAGATTTTACAAATTTCGGATAAAGATGCAAATTTTTAAATTTTAATTTTGAACAGAAATAATATATAGTTCATTTTAACCCGTGAAAAGTTAGAAATTACAACTATTAATGTAGTAGATTAAACGTGTTACTTTGAAGAACTAATATTTACCTCTTTGTGTGGTCCCGTGGGAACGATAAACTGTAAATAAAACTGTATTAATACCACCATAGTTTTATGATCATCATCATTATTTCAATAATTAGTCTCTCTTACCTCAGAAGGCAGCTTATTTTCGTTAACCTGTGTCACAACTATGTCTATTATACTACCGACTACTAAGATAAAGTCTGTTGTATTCCATGCATCACCAAAATAATTCTAAAATAAAAAGTTTAAATAATTTTAAATTAATTCGACAGCAGTTCTCTCAAACTTAAGGAAACAAGCTTACCTTAAATCTAAAAGCTGCCAATTTGAAAACAAATTCCAGCATAAACACTGTCGTTAACAACATATTAAGGTAATCCAAAGTCTGAAAGAAATATCACAATATAATACCATGGATAATATTCGTTTATACAAAACACTAAATAAAGGATCACCTTTTTATAAAACGGTTTAGCATCATGATACTTCATCATAAGAGCAACGGTGTTAAGGACGATGAAGAAGAATATGACATACTCAAACCTTTGTGACGTTACAAACCACCAAGTTTTATACTGGATACGATGTTTTGGGATATATCTGGAAATAAAATAAAATAATTAAATTCTATCTTCAACAAATTAACCAGCTTGAAACATGTCAAATGCAAATGTTCATGTGAACATAGCTGTAATAGAGATCCCGAAAGGTTCGATTTTTGGATCACTACTTATTACTTACCTTCTTATTGGCTTCGCTTTTAACGCAAATTCAACACAGTTTCTCTGATTCTTATCCAACTCACAATCTTTAAACTCTTGCTCACCCTCCTTTTGGAATGTAACTATGACAAAACCTACGAATATGTTTACCTGAAATGTAAACAAGCAGAAAAATTAAATTAAGAAAAATTTTGATAAGGGCCAAAAACATAAGGACCAAATACGTACCATAAAAAATGCAATAACAATAATATAACTTATGTAGAAAAATGCGACAAGTGGTCGAGAATTTTCTATAGGTCCGTGATTTTCTTGATTAGAATCCATCGATGTTGAAAGTAATCTATAAAAGAGATTTCAAGACATTATCATAGGTTATGTCAAATTAAAATCTGTAGATTAGATGGTTGATCTTACCCCGGCCATCCTTCAAACGTAGACACAGTGAACAGTGTAAGCATTCCATTCAAAACATTATCAAAATTAAATTTATTCTTCTGCCAAATACGGTCTTCAATAGTCGGTTTTCCGTTTTTGTAAACTAAGAATGTACCTCTGAAATGTATTTCATTCTTGACAAGTTCTTTTTATAATAAAAACTTAGAAACAGGATACATTTTATCGACCACAAAATTTTTTAAAATAATATACTCACTGACATTCGTCAAATGTTACTTTCGTAATATCCGTGCAGCTGAAAAATTTACCCTGAAAATAAACTAAACTATAACATCTTACATTTAACATTATTATCGTTCGAAGGATCATAAATGAAGCCTCAGGGCTTTGCGACACATTTATAAAAGGCTAACGAATAAAATGTATTGGACAGACTAAATAATGATTATCCATTATTTGATAGCTTAGGTATCCCATACATGATAATATGTACGCGGTAGCCAACATCGTTAGTTGTTAAATTGCATTTGACATAAACAAGAAATGCGTTATGTGCGCAATTGTTTGGAAATGTCTTGATTAAATTTATTTAATTCTTAGCTTCATCGACAAAATGAATGAAATTTGATTTGGCTTGTTTCAAGACATTTCAAACAGAGTAGCATTGTATTAATTTCTCAGAATGCGTTTTTTTTCTGAAAACGTCAATAAAGCAAGTACCTTAAACAACTGAATACCAACGACAGCGAACATAAATTGCAACATATGATTGATCACCAAGATGTTCCCGATCGACTTTATTGAAGCGAACACACACTTAACCACATACTGTCACAAGAACACATAGTTATCGTTGTTAAAACCACAGTTACGTTACCAAAACAATTTTCCATTCATCCAAAAACGTGTAGTTGAGCGCGAACATTTGTGTAAGAAAAATAATACAAAACTGTTAAAAACGAAACAAAAAATATCTTACACGACATTAGTCCTTGGTTTAAGTATAACAAAAATCGGCCAGTGTCCTGATCTGACGTAAAACTTTAAAATCATAAGAAACCAAGTACCTCACTCCTATTTCGCGAGCGGAAATGTCCAGGTAGGGGGCAAAAGAAACACAACAAAGCTCAATTTGAGTCCAAAAAATCACAAATACAATGGTCTTGTTTATTTTAAAATAGCGCACAACACCTTTGGGCTTTTAGGAGAAAACAAGAAAAGAACGTGCATGCAAGCGAATTTTTGGACCCACGAATGAAAGCGAGGATTAGTAAATAGCTCCAAAGTGGCACACACAAAAAGTCAATCAGTTCAATGGAAATCAGATATTCTAATAAGCGCTATTTTCAAAGTGGTTGAGACCTTTGATAATGTGCGGTAAACAACAAGTGCTATACTTACTACACAGATTGGACCCAAAGGTGTCGTAGTATAAAAAAAAATAAAAAAATACTTTTGAAATCCTCTACCTTGAACATTTGCACTCCCATTACAGCGAACATGAATTGCAGTAGATTTGTCACCAACAAAATGTTGCCAATTGTTTTAATAGCAACGATCACGCATTGCACTACGTGCTAGAAATACGATAAAATACATTTTACTATAATAACTTATCGATAAATTCCGATATACTTGTTTGAAATATTTCATAGAAGAGTAATTACACTGACCTTCAATCCTTTGGCTCTGTTGATGGCTCTAAGAGGCCTCAACACTCTGAACACTCGCAAAATTTTGATAAAGGAAACGTTGTTGTTTCTGTAAGAATTAATTAGAATTTTATTGAAATTTATATTAAATTATATGTAACTTTCTTAAAATATATAGTAATGCATGAATCATTATTACTTTAATATTTACATCAAAATTTATGTAATTTATAGTCTTTAAGATAAATTAAGAAAACTGTACGAAATTTAGACTTACCCAGATAAGGAGACTAGCGACACAATAACAACTAGCAAATCTAATAAATTAAAAGCAGATCTACAAAACGCGTCCTTATGCAAGATTAGGCCATAGGTGATGAGCTTCAAACACAATTCAATTGTGAAGACCGTGGTGAAGAAGTAATCAACTTTACGAAGTATCTGAAATTTTATAATATTTGAGGCTTAGGAAGCTGAACCAACTAAATTTTATTGAAACAATATGAATTTTCCGATATTTAGATTGTAACTTATATAAGAGTTATACCTCCCTCTTAGCCTCTGTAGCCTTCCCTTCGACCGGATCTTCCATGGCTAACATAAGAGACGAAGCCAAAATACACACGAGGATTAAGTTTCTGAACCATGAATTGTTTTGTATATTGTAGCAAGCCACGCGAAACCTAAAATATTGCGTCATTGTCACATCTTATCAGTACTTTAAGTATATGGTATTTTATTGTCATTATTATAATCCTTACCAATTGTCTTTGGAAAATATAAAAAAGCTGCTAGCTTCCGGGATAGGCCGTTCCTGTGTCTTGATTTCAACTTCTGACAATCTTCTTGGTCTTGCCGATATCGTTGGTTGTCGTTTTGGTGGTGGCGGCGACTCTTGCTTTTTGACATCACCTAAATTAATAAATTGTGTAAGGTTTTCACGGCCTGCTCGGCCGACGTTAACGAGAAGAGGTTTACGGCCGACGTGAACGAGAGAATTAATTCGCCCGTTTCGCTAATTCTTCGAGCAATCGAGTAGCTAACATTTCCTTATGATGCCGTCCGCGCGTGATGGCGAAATCTCTTCTCGTTTACGTCGGCCGAACAGCCCGAAAATCAATGATATGCTGTCACCTAAGTTGTTAAATGGATTATTATATAAATAATAGTAAATAAATCATTATTAAAATATTGAACATTCTTACCATTTTGTTTCTTTTCAACAGTAACTAGAACATTATTAGCATTGTCATTCTGGTCTTCGAGTTCTTGTTCCAAATCTTCTTCAGACCCAGTCTCTTCGTACTCATTTTCAGACCTTTAAAATAAACTATACTTAATAATCCTTATCTAATATTCAAATATATAATTCACATTTTACTTACCTCGCAACTCTTTTATATTTTTTATACGTTTGGCTGCATGCAAAGTAGAAAATCAAAAAGATACATATGATTTACCTATAGTCAAATGTGGTTATTTGACAATAATGTGATATTGTCTATTTTTAAGTAGTGTTGTTTTAACATACCCTTCACTCGAGTAACCCTCTTCTTCATTAGCATATTCATCATCCGTTTCTCCTCTTTCTTCATCCAATTGTGGATTACCAGCTTCTGGATTATTTCCATCCTAGATTAAGATAATAAAACGATAATTCAATTTAACAAATACAGAATAGTTCTTATGAATAAATGGATTTTATAGGCGCTTACTTCTTTTTCTTTAATAATCTCTGCTTCGTCCATTTCTTCAGCGTCGCCTAAGTTGTCCACAGCAATAGCCAAGAATACATTCAAAAGGATATCTGTGTATCTCTAAGGAGAACTATTGCAAAAAGAAATACTTAAAAAAGCTCTTAACTTTCTACCCCTGGTAACCTAATTTAATATTTTGTTATAAGTTGTAATAAAAAGGATACAATTACCACATATAAAAATAACTATGAAGTAAATAGATGCAAGCATTCCTGGCGTACCAACGCCACCATAAGCATTAATTCCATGATACATTACTACGTTCCAATCTTCACCAGTAAGAATCTAAAATAACAATTTCATAGTTAGGATAAGATTTTCATATAACATACATCAGATTGTAAACTCCTGACCTGAAACATAGTCAGTACAGCCTGCCAGAAAGAGTCGAAGTTATGCCTCTCTTTCTGTTCCTCTGGGTCGTAGTCAAATCTTCCACCAAATACTTGCATTCCAAGTAGCGCAAAAATCATGATAAACAAGAAAAGCAATAAAAGAAGGGAGAAAATTGATTGGATAGAATTGAGAAGGGATGCAACCAGATTGGAGAGGGAACGCCAATACCTAGAAATTTTTTAAAATATAAACTAGCTATCAAGCACTTTGATATGATATAAAAATGGTATAAATATTCTTACTTGGTGACCTTAAAGACCCTCAAAAGCCTCACACAACGCAGCACAGATATACCAAGCTGGGGGATCGTTTCAGATATTGTAAAAGCCAGCTCGAGTATAGAACACACCATGACGAAGCAATCAAAACGGTTGAACAAAGAGACGAAATATCCCTGAAAATAATCCAATAAATCTGAGAAATAGTCCGATTAAAGTATTGAATTCCAAAGGTCAACAATATTTTGTCTATTTTCTATTTTGCCTAAGCCTATAAGGAATTAACAAGATCGAAGAACCAATTAGTTGACGAAATGTAACTATAATTTTCATATGGATTGTACATTATTTATGTATAGGTTAAAGATAAGAAGTCATCTATATTTGACGGGCTCGTTGGTGAAGAGGTAGCAATGTGTGATTAATAATCAAAGGGTCGTGGACCTGGACCACCAGGTCCAAGATATACAAATTCCGTCCGGGTCACGAACCACCGTCCACAGTTTCGTCGCGTGTCGGTTTCATTCTCCCCCATGCCCCATGCTTTTCTGTCCTGCTCGAACATAAAAAAAAAAGATTTGTTAGAATTACCTGAAATCCTAAAGCGTACATCTTGACAAGCATCTCCATAGTAAACAGCACAACGAATAGATAATTGGCGTAATTTTGAAAATTATCCAACCATTTATCTTGGCTGCAAAGAAAAATATTGCCTTGTATAGAACATGTATAACTATTATATGTGATTCAAAAATAAATAAGTTAACATTTGTATACTTGTAATGTTCTGTAGCTAGCACGAGTGTGTTCAAAAACACTAATACAATAATCGCCCAATAGAACGTCTGTGACTTCACTGCCTTACGACACGCTCTGCGCATGCGACGGTTTACCTAGAAAATAAATATTTATGTCTTTGTATGATGTAAAAGATATACTAAAATTTTTGTTTTTATATTTATATAGTCTTTGTGTACTCACCTTGTCAAACCGTTTGCAATAAAGCTTACATGTTGTAGTTTTCTGCGATTCTCCGTTACCGTTTATATTTGTTTGGGAGTCCTCATTGTTTTGCCTTTCTTTCTTGTTTCCTGTAGATATTGAAATAATCTTATTTCAGTCAGCTAGTTAAATAATACGTGTCTTTCACATTTAATCTTCTATCCCTACGTAGTTTACGCGAGTAGTACACATTTAAATTTAACTACGGCCCAAAGTTTGGGATGCTTTGCAGCAGCCGTGGTCATAGGGAGACCGGACACAGGCCGTAGTTAAAGTAATTTTCAAATAAATTTAACTAATATCGCATTTTAAACAATTACACTGTTGTTTTTTTGTTTGATTTATTTTGAAAAAAGAAAACTGTACCTTGACTATCTTGTTCTTGTTCTTTCTGTCCTTGATCATTCTCTAGATCCAATTCTTCGGCTACAGTAATCCAATTTAAGTAGCCCTTTAAGTCTTCTTCAATCTGCTGCCTCTCTCTTGATTTTTGAAAATCTCCTCTGTTCTTTGCCTTTTCTCTCTCTTTAGAGAACTCTCTAACATATTTACAATCACATTATAATAATTACTAGATAGACATACTATTAAGATGACGTACTAACAACGTTGAACAATATTTTATACATATTTATTACAAATTAAATCACATGAAGATAGACTTCGCAGTAGTTCGAGATGTAGTTGACTACACATACATCAAGAATATGTATACAATATAGTCAACTAGACCGCTTAATACATCATCTACTGGCGACATAATATACAATTACCTAATTTAAAGATATCCAATCTATTGAGAGTTGTAGATATATAAATCATCTTCATAACTTACCCAGACAAGACACCAAGAATCAGATTCATGACGAAGAAGTTGCCGAAAATAACCAGAGTTACGAAATAGATCCACACCCAGGTGTTGCCTTTCACATCTGCTATCTGAAACGTATTGAAGAAGATGCCAATTACTTCTCCGATTAATAGATACTATCAGAATGATTTATTAAAACAAATACAACAATGTTGTAATAAATTACGTTTTTATAAATATCGTGGTTAACAATTTCTACTCATACCTATTCGGCCATTCGGCATTATATAACGGCCATATGTATGAAAACTGAATTCTCTTTAAATGATTTATTAAAATTATAGTATCTATATGTGTATCTTTAAGATTAATTTAATTAAAATTAATAGTACTTTATTTTTTATTAACACAAGGCTTACCAACTCGTATATAATTAAACTTACAAGTTCAAAAAAAAAACATTTTGAGTAAAAATTAAATCAAATTAAAATTTATAGATGGTAAAATTTCTTCTTGAGTATATTTAAATTGACGAATAAATCTAATCGATCCACGATGAATAAATATAGTACAACTTTATGTAATAAATAATTTTTAGTACAAACGAGTACCTTGACAATATGTATTATTTTGCGGAACGTATACAAGAATTATTTAACAATAGTTTAATATCTTACCGCATACATAATATCAGTCCATCCCTCTAATGTGATGCATTGAAATACCGTCAGCATAGCGTAACCGATATTGTCGAAATTGGTTATTCCGAAATTGATGCCGACCCAGTAGTCCTTGCATATCTGTCCGTCATCACAATGATTGCCGACGTCCGCCTCGCGAGAACATGGTGTGGGGTCGTCCACCATTTGTTCCAGAAAAGGAATTTAGGAATTAAATAAACATGAACCACCGTAAATAGACAGATAAAAGCCGTGAAGTTTAGTCGCGTTTCGGTTTGTGGATTTCCGAATATCCAAAGTCAAAATGGGACAACAGCGCATCTTACTTAGATGTTATATGGCTGAGGTGTTTCACTATCAAACCCTTCCCCTCTCTGTCCTCCTCAATCAGTAAAAAAAATGCCAATCCAAGTCCGGCCTGTGTCGTAAATTTTTCTAATTTATAATCGATTTTTAATCGATACCAACTTGTTTCGTTATCAAAGCAGGTGTCGTGAAGGACTCCAGAGAACAGCTCCAAGCCAATGATAGCGTAGATGATGATAACGAAGAGTACCAGAAAGGCAATATGGAATAAGGGCACCATCGCTTTTAATATCGAATTTAACACGATTTGAAGACCTGAAAAAGAAAGGTAACAAGGTTTTTCAGTTGGTAATAAAACTATTGTTTATTGGATGTATGTATACAATTTCACCTTGACAAAAAGGTAAAAGTGTTGGAGTTCTCAAATATAAACATAATTTTAACTTAAAAACTCAACTAATCCTAATTTTACTGGTCATATCTAATTTTAATTAATCAAATATTATATAACATAGCCCTAAATATGAAGTTCTGTTTCCCCTCTGTACGGAATGAGGCAAACACATTTTTATGTCTGTTTTATGAATAAATTTTATTTATATCTATCAAACTGTGTTCTTTCAAATTAAACCATGTGTACTTACCCGGGACTGTTTGTGTTTAACGCAAGGCAACATGGTTATTCAATGAGACACGAAAGCGATCGACAGGTAAATTTGGGGCAAGGGGCGAACACATTTCTTTATCCCTTAAATGAGTGGTTTTACAGGCAAGCAGTAGATCAGACTTCCGTGCCTTACCGGGCCGAAACAATCAATTTTTTCCATGGCATTCAAATCACAGAATCTCTCGCGGCCATGTCGTAGTTTTTTTTTATCAATGTAAAATCTAATTTTAATTTAGAAGTATAGTAAATTAGTAAGATTGTAGAAAACCATTATTTATCAGTGTATACTAACTTGGTACTCCCGGAGACCAGACGTAGCGGCCGCAAAACTCTAAAAGCTCTCAAAGCCTTTACATCAAAGAGATCGCTTGAAATTTTCTGGAGTATCTGACTCACTATTCTGTAACATAAAAATAAAGGCGAAAAAAAAACATTTAAGTACTATAAATCATTGATATGGTTTCAACATATTAATGCCACTGTTGGGAATAGATCCACCTCGCTCTTGTAGTTCGGATTGATGGTTTATAAGAACTATTGTCACAAAATTAGTAATGTTAAGGATTTATTTATTGGCACACATAGTGTGTGAAATCCCATTTTCTTCATACGACAAACACGTTTCACTGATCAGTTTACAGAGCAAGTTAATCAAACTTGTTTGACCCGAAATAATATATATAAAAATTTTCCACGGAATTCAAACCGAGAACCCCTCATGTTTAACGCATATATAGTCTAGTAGTATAGACAATACATTTTATCACTATGCGGATAGATGTTAGAAGTAAAAGAAATCCGCAATTTCTCAAAATTTTACATACGTCAAGATGGCACTAGCGTAACAGATTTGACTTTGACATTAGGGACCTTCTCCATCTTTAGTCCCCCCGTGACCACGACTGCTGCAAGGCATCCGAAACGTCGGGCCCTACTTAAAACATATTGTAAATACGTTAACTAATATATTTCGTGTTTTAAACTGTTAAAAGTGAATAAATGTGTATTACTCGCGTTAAGTACAGACAATACTAAATAAATAAACACTTAAATATGGCCGCTTAATGAATTTACAAATGGCTGCTGTAATTTTATGACTTGATTTATTTATATTTTCATAGTCTAAAAATGTTAATCTACAAGAGCACTGAAAACATAATTATTATACAAATAATATTACATAGTACATATTATTAAATAGTACAAATTTTTTTTCGCCTAAATTAATTGTGCATTTTTATTTTCCTTCTTATTGAAAATCATGTTTTTTGTTATTAGTCCTCTAGCAGGCTCATTTAACCTTTAACACTAAACAAGGTCAAAGTTCAACCATCGACATTTCAAGGCAAAATATATATTGGGGTAGATTTGAATACAGTCATTAGCGTAGTATCGAGATCTATAGGACTTTTGTGTCACTTTTTTATATTAAGTGAACTGATGCAAAATAAAATTACGTTTCTCAATTATATAGCGGGTAGTTTTTGTTTTTAGTACAGTGTGTCAAAACGTGTCTTTATTTATTTCCACGTTATGACGTCACGCGTGTTGTCAATTGACGCACTATTTAAAACTTTAGTTACATTTTTAAAGAACATTCTCATGGTATTGTTCGTGTTTCTTTTATGATAAGAAAATTATCATTTCTATTTTACTGTAGTGTATCTTTATTACATATTATTACAGATTTAAGATATATAAATATTTTAACAATTGTAATAATGAAATTAGTTAATTTATTTGAATTTGAGCCGTTTTAAACCGTTAAAAGATATTTAAATATCACAAGTACATATTGCTCGCGAAAACTGTAGACCATACTTAGTGAAAGTAGTTTTGATACTGACAATGTAACAGAGAGAAAAAAAAGAGAAAAGGAGAATGTAAGAGAAAGGAAGGTATTGTATGTAAAACGGTATTTTATATACAAACCCAATAGTGACAATGGTGAAGTCCAAACTGTTCCAAGCATTCCTCAAATATGCTCCCGGGTGCATCAGAAATCCATACGCTATAATTTTCATCACACACTCTGCACTGAAAATTCCCATGAAAATCCACTCTACTTTTTCCTAGAACAATTAATTTAATATTACTTTACAATACATGTACAATATTTCTGTAACACATTGACTCTTTTAAATATAACGATTGACGGTTTAAAACGCGATATATATTCGTGTCTCCCCGTGACCACGGCTGCTGCAATTGATGAATGAAATGATTTTTAATTTTGATTTTTTTTTCGGCTGCTACAAAGCATCCGAAACGTCGGGCCGAAGTTAAAAATCATTTCCAAATAAGTTTAACTAATATATCGCCTTTAAACCGTTAAAGTGTTTTATTTAAATGTGTCCTACTCGCGTAAACTATAGACAGTATTTAATAACGTGTATTTTAGTTTTATTGGTTATTAGTAATATATAATTACTGTCATACTTACTAAAATCTGATTTGTGTTGTTCGTGTCTCCGGCCGGGTAGGGCGTGAACACAGCGAGGGCTATACAGTTTGCAAAAATCGTTGTCAATATCATGTACTCGAACGGCCTGCGTTTCTATGTCAAGGAAACTCTTCCAATATTTGCAAAATAAACCTGACTGATTCCGTATAACAATAAAATAAAATTTATTGTCATAGTCTATTTTAGCTATAATAAATGATAACTTAAATGTATAAACAATTTTAATAGTCTGTCGGCATTTTTAATGTAAGTCTTAAAATGCAGTATTTCGAACGTCAAATGGTAAAATTGAAAACCATAAATATTTTGTCACATAATACTTTTGAAGTTTACACTTGAAATAAAATACTTGTAACGGATTAAAATGTGAAATATTAATTACTTCAGTTATTTTTAATTTATGTTAACTGCGCGGCGGCCCGATTCGAACGTCAAACTATGACTAAAAATTTAAAATGTAATGAGCAATTGTTAAAAAAATATATAAAACACAACAAGGTTTGTACCAACACAACAAATTTGTACCTAAACAACAAAGTAAGATTTGAAACTCCCGATACGTAAAACAAATGCAATCACACTGGAAAAACTAGTCTACTCTTAGTAGATTTGGACTGTAGGCTAACTTTAAATAAAACACTTTAACGGTTTAAAATGCGATATATATTAGTTAAACGTATTTGAAAATTAATTTAACTACTGAAATAAGTTTAACTTTTCTTTTAAACCGTTACAGGTATTTTTTACTTTGTACTACTCCCGTAAACTAAAGACAGTATTTAGTAAGCTATATGTCAAAAGGATACTTCCACTCCACAATATCGTAGCACAGCTTTCTTAATGGATTAGTGAGTGTCAAACAGAAGAGACTTCTCTTCGGCCGTTCAGGTTGGGCTTTTCCTCTCCCCCGGACTGCTTTCTTCGGCACGACTACGGCCTGCCCCGTGTCATCTCCCTCGGGGGTCGTGGGCTGTGCCGGTCCCTCCATTATAACCTGACAAACAAAAATTATACTTAGATCGGGGTCTATAATAAATTTAATTTCAAAATTCAAGGAAACAGCCACAGAAATGTGTCTGTCCCATGTCTCAAGTAGAAACGCAATCACATATCTATTTACCAATTTATCGTATTATCGTAAAATGTATTATTTTTAAAACTTTAATAATGTTAACATGATATAACCTGTATAATATAGAAATCAAAAATAAATTGAAAAAAAATATTCAATAATTTCCTTATCTGCAAAGCATAATACATTTAATCTTAATTGATAACTGTTAAGGCTGAAATTACATTGCGCAAGAGGTGGATGTAACAATAAGTTTAAAAAATTCGACGATAAGGTGTAGGACTCGGTAGCTCAATCGGCAGAGCAACAGCACGGAATGCTGACGATGCCGGTTCAAGTGCTGTCCGAGTCGAAAATTTTCGACTTTTAAATTGTATTATTTTTAACTATATTATAAGTGCAATTTTCTCATACAAGTGTTTATATACGTCGCAATGAGGCATATTTTGTATTAATTCGTTTTGGACTACTTAAATACACTCACTTGATGTCCAAAATAACTATACAACGCGGACGAAGTCGCGGGCACAGCTAAGTATATCTAATATATAAAGCTGCAAAGTTTGTTTGTATGTTTGAACGCGCTAATCTCAGAAATTACTGGTTCGAATTGGAAAATTATTTTCATGTTAGTTAAAGCATTTAGCGTGTAGGTTAGGTTATAAAAGATAGAACTGTGACTAATAAGAGCAAGGAAACAGCAGGAAATGTGGAAGAAACGGGGACAATTAGTGAACTTTCTGGGTTTCAGATGCGTACGCTGCGAAAACGGTTCAAAAAACATGAAAGATTTAATCCTCTTTAACTCATCAAAAACTCATCCACGACAATATGTTTATATTTTAGGATTAACTTGCGAGAACGACGGGATGCGACCTACGCCGTGAGGAACAGTTTAAATTCATAAAGATTGCAAAAACAAATTTGGATGTCCAAAATAACTGTTTTACGCGGACAAAGTCGCTGACACAGCTAGTAAAAAATAATTTCCGACTTGTTTACATTACTTACTGCGTCGTGTGTTCATTTTAACAAGCTACGTACAACTGTGCAACAACTAAGCAAATAAATTGAAGGTAATTTCGCCTCAAGCACGACTCCAGCCACACAAACAATTTGAACAAGGCCCAGAATTGCTCCAGCGAACGTGCGAAGTGACGTCACACGCTTTACGACCAGCGTCTCTCGTAAATCTATTACAGCGTCTCAAACAAACACCTTTTATTTTCGTTTTATTTACTCGATTGATGGTTTAATATTTTTACGGTCTTCGGATGTTTTGTGCGATGCGAGAACACTTGAGATTTTGAATATCGAATATTATTTGCGAATATCGAAATATTTCGATTAATATTACGAGCTGGTTGATACAGTAGCTATGCTCGATTACTTTCGATTTACTTTATTTAGCAATCACTAGCTGTGTCAGCGACTTCTCTTTTCTTTAATTCAATGCGCGTAGAATAGTTCCAAAATAACTATTCTACGCGCATTGAATTTTCTACTCACGACGTCGGTCGCGTCCCGTTGTTTTACAAGAGTACTGTCACGGATTTTTTTATATCATTGAAAGAGGAATCATTCTTTTATACGTATTATTTCGGTATCTTGAACCGTTTTCGCAGCGTACGCAACGAAAGCCCAAGATAAATATTTTCCCCAGTTTTCTCCACATTTATCGCTGTTTTTTCACTCCATTAGTGCGGTTGCGTACTGTCGTTCTTACATCTTAATCTTAAAAGATAGACATACAGTGTCGCTGATATTGTTTTACATCATTTAAAGATGAATCATTCCTATGAACATGGCAACATTTATGGGTATCTTGACCCTTTTTCGCAGTGAACGCATTAGAAAGATAAATAATTTTACCCGTGTTTTTACCGCATTTCCCGCTGTTTCTTTGCTCCTAGCGCGATATTTTATAGCTATAGCCTTCCTCGATAAAATTTCTAACCAACACAAAAAAAATTAAATTCGAACTAGTAGTTCCAAAGATAAGCGTGTTCAAACAACTGAACAAACTCTTCAGCTTCGTACATTGGTATAGATAAATACGGTCTTACCGAAAATTTCAACTATTAAATACTTAACAGACAATTATGGCGACAATGCCTCTTGTAATTACAGGATACTAATGAGATCGTAAATTTATAAGTATCGGTCGAGTCGTAAAACGGACATTCCTTTAATGGATACTAGATGTTATAGCGTAATTATCTAGATTGACAATCTACTGTTTTTGTATGTTATGGCTATGAACAATCAATTTCGAATTTCTGCACCCCGGGCAATAAGAACAATCTTAGCTTTTAATTAAAACACTTTAACGGTTTAAAACGCGATATACATATATTAGTTGACGTCAGTGACGTCCTCCATCTTTAGTCTCCCCGTGATCACGGCGGCTTTAATCGTCAAGACGTAGTTAAAAATCAGTTTGAAATAAGTTTAACTAATATATATCGCGTTTTAAACCGTTAAAATGTTTTATTTAAATTGCGTAAACTATAGACAGTATTTAACACTATTAGCTTTGAAAACATTAATATTTTTCACATGTTATTGCACATGAAGGCACTATATAATTTAAAAATCGAAAATAAATTGAAAAAATTTTCGACTCGGGCAGGACTTGAACCGGCATCGTCAGCTTTCCGTGCTGTTGCTCTACCAATTGAGCTACCGAGTCCTACACCTCATCGTCGAATTTTTTCAACTTATTGATACATGCACCTCTCGCGCAATGTAATTTCTACCTTAACACTTGCGTATTAAGGCTCAATGTCTTATGCTTTGCAGCTTAAGAAATCATTGAAGATGAAATTACAAAGTTATAACGTTTGAAAACATTAATATTTTTCACATGTTATTGCACATGAAGGCACTATATAATTTAAAAATCGAAAATAAATTGAAAAAATTTTCGACTCGGGCAGGACTTGAACCGGCATCGTCAGCTTTCCGTGCTGTTGCTCTACCAATTGAGCTACCGAGTCCTACACCTCATCGTCGAATTTTTTCAACTTATTGATACATGCACCTCTCGCGCAATGTAATTTCTACCTTAACACTTGCGTATTAAGGCTCAATGTCTTATGCTTTGCAGCTTAAGAAATCATTGAAGATGAAATTACAAAGTTATAACGTTTGAAAACATTAATATTTTTCACATGTTATTGCACATGAAGGCACTATATAATTTAAAAATCGAAAATAAATTGAAAAAATTTTCGACTCGGGCAGGACTTGAACCGGCATCGTCAGCTTTCCGTGCTGTTGCTCTACCAATTGAGCTACCGAGTCCTACACCTCATCGTCGAATTTTTTCAACTTATTGATACATGCACCTCTCGCGCAATGTAATTTCTACCTTAACACTTGCGTATTAAGGCTCAATGTCTTATGCTTTGCAGCTTAAGAAATCATTGAAGATGAAATTACAAAGTTATAACGTTTGAAAACATTAATATTTTTCACATGTTATTGCACATGAAGGCACTATATAATTTAAAAATCGAAAATAAATTGAAAAAATTTTTTTCGACTCGGGCAGGACTTGAACCGGCATCGTCAGCTTTCCGTGCTGTTGCTCTACCAATTGAGCTACCGAGTCCTACACCTCATCGTCGAATTTTTTCAACTTATTGATACATGCACCTCTCGCGCAATGTAATTTCTACCTTAACACTTGCGTATTAAGGCTCAATGTCTTATGCTTTGCAGCTTAAGAAATCATTGAAGATGAAATTACAAAGTTATAACGTTTGAAAACATTAATATTTTTCACATGTTATTGCACATGAAGGCACTATATAATTTAAAAATCGAAAATAAATTGAAAAAAATTTTCGACTCGGGCAGGACTTGAACCGGCATCGTCAGCTTTCCGTGCTGTTGCTCTACCAATTGAGCTACCGAGTCCTACACCTCATCGTCGAATTTTTTCAACTTATTGATACATGCACCTCTCGCGCAATGTAATTTCTACCTTAACACTTGCGTATTAAGGCTCAATGTCTTATGCTTTGCAGCTTAAGAAATCATTGAAGATGAAATTACAAAGTTATAACGTTTGAAAACATTAATATTTTTCACATGTTATTGCACATGAAGGCACTATATAATTTAAAAATCGAAAATAAATTGAAAAAATTTTTCGACTCGGGCAGGACTTGAACCGGCATCGTCAGCTTTCCGTGCTGTTGCTCTACCAATTGAGCTACCGAGTCCTACACCTCATCGTCGAATTTTTTCAACTTATTGATACATGCACCTCTCGCGCAATGTAATTTCTACCTTAACACTTGCGTATTAAGGCTCAATGTCTTATGCTTTGCAGCTTAAGAAATCATTGAAGATGAAATTACAAAGTTATAACGTTTGAAAACATTAATATTTTTCACATGTTATTGCACATGAAGGCACTATATAATTTAAAAATCGAAAATAAATTGAAAAAATTTTTTTTCGACTCGGGCAGGACTTGAACCGGCATCGTCAGCTTTCCGTGCTGTTGCTCTACCAATTGAGCTACCGAGTCCTACACCTCATCGTCGAATTTTTTCAACTTATTGATACATGCACCTCTCGCGCAATGTAATTTCTACCTTAACACTTGCGTATTAAGGCTCAATGTCTTATGCTTTGCAGCTTAAGAAATCATTGAAGATGAAATTACAAAGTTATAACGTTTGAAAACATTAATATTTTTCACATGTTATTGCACATGAAGGCACTATATAATTTAAAAATCGAAAATAAATTGAAAAAATTTTCGACTCGGGCAGGACTTGAACCGGCATCGTCAGCTTTCCGTGCTGTTGCTCTACCAATTGAGCTACCGAGTCCTACACCTCATCGTCGAATTTTTTCAACTTATTGATACATGCACCTCTCGCGCAATGTAATTTCTA